TGCGCACAACCTCTTTTGCCCACCACATATTGATTTATCAAAATCATCTGATCCGAAACGGAAATCAACGGAAATCAAAAGATGAGTCGTTTAGTTCTTCGATAACTTTTTGAATTGAGTGTTTGGCCCATTTTCCTTTTTTTACATCGTTAATTAAGTCGTTCTAATGGAAACTGATCCATACGATGCTACCATGGGCCCAACAAGTGCCAGGTTAGAATAAAACACCTTTAAACTTTGCGCTGAATCACGAGTACAATATTTTATCAACAACGGTCTTAAATTGAAGTGAAGCACAGTATGGCGCTAACCAGAAGTCAGGAAACCGCATATACGCGAGTGTATTTGCGAAGCTGGTCATTTTCACAACTACATTATCTGGAAAACTCAAGTAATAATTGATAAAAAAACATCGGAAAAGCACGTAAAAACGTAAATGTTTGTAGCTTACGCTCCCCATCGACGCGTCTTAGTTTTGGCTCAGCGGCCATCGGGGTGCGTAGCGGCAGGTAGGTCCGCTTAGGCTCTATTAGGGAACGATTTTCTTTTTCTCGAGGTTTGCGATCGTTATCGTTTCGACAAATTGTCTTTGTATCTACGCTCGGCAGCATCTGCGGCCCTTGTCGATTCCCATTTGGCACGCTATGCGTACTGTACCTAAGTAAAGGTTTTCGGGCATACTTTTTCGTAAAAATTTTCAGCCAATCGAGAGGCTAGTTTCGTTCCATAAGGCTACTTTACAATTTGTGCAGGAATTGTACATAAAAAGGTCCAAAAATACTTATATAGTGTTGTTTCTCGACAAACCTTCCCGATAAAACTATCACGATGTTGTTATTGGGAAAAGCTATTAGCAAAAAAATATGTCTACTTACAAAAACTCCAATATTGTCTGTAAGGCAAAAGCGTAGTGATTTTCAAACTCACCGCATAGACAATAGTGATCAGGACCTTTGAAAAACTGTGAAAGAAGAAACTAGAAGAAGAGTTGTTTGTAACATGGGAAGTTGTTTCTACCTTGAAAAAACTGTGAAAGAAGAAACTAAAAGAAGAGTTGTTTGTAACGTGGGAAGTTGTTCCTACCTTGGAAAATCTGCGAAAGGCGAAACTTGAAGAAGAGTTGTTTGCGACATGGGAAATTGTTGCTACCTTGGAAAAACAATGAAACAGGAAACTAGAAGAAGAGTTGTTTGTAGCATGGGAAGTTGTTGAAAAAACTACGCAAAAGGAAACTAGAAGAAGAGTTGTTTGTAAAATGGGAAGTTGTTGCTGCCTTGGAAAAACTGCGAAAGGAGAAACTTGAAGAAGAGTTGTTTACAACATGGGAAATTGTTGCTACCTTGGAAAAACAGTGAAAGAAAAAACTAGAAGAAGAGTTGTTTGTAACGTGGGAAGTTGTTTCTACCTTGAAAAAACTGTGAAAGAAGAAACTAGAAGAAGAGTTGTAAGATGGGATTTAACTTTCGCAAAAAAGACAAAATGCAAAGTAATAGAATCACACAGATTACGCACTTGGAGATTTAATTGCCTTCAAGAAATTAAAAGACATAGATATCTTCAAATAAAGGAAAACGCATTACCATAATACACGCTGGGTCAGAAGACGGATTTGTCTGCAAAAAGTATTAAAAATTCCAGCTTGGATTATGAAGAGGCCGATAATTTGGCTGAACAGGGTGGGCGTACTGTTTTAGGTTTTCCTTGATATCGTTGCATTTATTGAACCAAGGAAAATCAAGTCAGAGCAGAAAATGTGGCAGTGTTATAAATTTGATAAAAAATGTAATTAATTAAGTAAAGCATATAATAAAAACTGAGGACTCTTGCATTTCTATGAACATTAATCAACTTGTCAGGTAGCTTGTTGAAAATTACTGATCCTATACGTACTGATATTTACACAGGAGTTGTTCCTACCTCTGGTATTGAATTCATGTGATCTGAGCTTCTCAAGGTTGCCTTTTTCTTTTTGAACACGTACATCCAAGACCCGTCAGTTTTGAGTAGCTAGGAAGAAAGCTGAAATGTTGATTCTTATCGGCCGTTGCTCAAAATTTTAATGTAAGCGTAACAGCCGTGTCTTCCATTAATAAAAGGTGGAGACCAGAACAAACGTTTGAAAGGAAAGGAGTATCTGGCAGACAAACATTTCAGTTCAAGGAGATCAGATGCTAATGAATTCTATCCATAGAATTAAGGCATAAAGTGTACAGACCAGACAACCAACGTTTCTACCTGGTGATTGTCGACGGGTACAGAACTGCTCAAAACAGCGACGAACTAAGGTGTTCAGGATATATGGGAAGAATTGTAGCTCGAAGAAAGCTTCTTAGCTCCTTTCACGATCATGAGCCGAAGACTTCAATTTGTGATTGATGCGGATGGAGGTCACACACAATGTTCCTTCCGTGTGTTTCTTCTTTCCTGTTTATGTTAAAGTATTCTAAATTCTTCTAAATTTGTTCTAATTTGTTCTACGCCCATAACCTCAATTTTAAAATTACCGCTCATTCCATGGTATTGCCCGCTTTCAAGCTGATAACTCGCGTCAGACACTTTAATCGACGTTTAATTTTGAGACACCCTGTATAGCGGCACTCCGCAGTTGTATATTTGAACAGCCCGACGTTGCTCATGGAAACCTGACACCGACCCCACCGCGTAGTAACAGATACGGCTTCAGCGTTTTTCCCTCGAATGCGAAGGTCTCAATCGAAGTGACGTCACGACGAGAGTTTTGATCGATTCGACGCGGTCGTTGAACTAAACAGGGCCGGACCAACCCAACGTCCTAACTTTTGAGATAATAATAATAATAATAATAAATCGTCTTTATTTCCAAACATAATTACATTGAAATATTGTCATTTACAGTGGTTGTCCTACATGTTATGAATGAATCTATGGTCTCCTTCTACACTATATGGTTCTATTTCTACGAGTAAATTAAAAATTGTTTTCTTTAACATTTTTAAATCTCTAATCGTTTTTATATTGCTCGGCAACATTATAACACCTAATACTCTTCTCACTTATAGTCAGTCTGTGCCTGGGATATGTGTATTTCATGGTTCTTGTCCCATAAACTTCCTGAGACAAACTGTTTTCAAAAATGTTTCTGTGTTCTCTTGTATGAAAAATGCAGGAAAAGTTAAAATTTTATTTTCCCTTAATTTTCCCCTAGATGACTCTCGAAAGTTTAACTGCAATATAGTTCGCAGGGCAAATAAAAATTATTTCTGTGTCTCTGAAATTTCCATATATAACAAGACCGTATCTCATATGTCTCAAAATTGACCACTCTCAACACAGTGATTAAAATTATAAATATTGTGAATAGAAGATTTCTTAACAATCATAATAATATTCTTACTTCTATATTGGTTTCTGTATACTCGATCTCAGTACTAATGATGACATAGAGTTCTTGATCCTATTTAACGGACACATTTATTTTAAACGTTTTCTTTTACACAATTTAAAAAGCGTTAAGGTGTGAACACATTACATTACATTCGTATAATCGAATTAACGAATCAGTTATAATATTATCTGCGAAGTCAAACACAGAATAGAAGTTTTGACAATTTTTATGAAAACTTTTATTTCAAGGTCCCTAATAACTTCGGGTGGTGGTGGTTTAAAAAAATTGGGTTGGTGTTGTTTTTGAATCGCGTATGATGCGTTTTTGGTGTCCTAACGATAATAAAATTATCAATTCCCTTAAATGTTGGTCATCAACCGACGTAACGCGTGTGAGCTTGGCTTTTGCGCCATGTAAAACAAAATAGCCGCGGTTTCGGTGGCATCTGGGCCGCTATTTGTAGAGCCCGGTATCAGATGACGAAGTTAGATAGACCTGGAAACTGAGAATAGCCTGGCGCGCGAGCTATTTTAGACGGTATTGCGTATCGTAGAGGCGTAAAATTTGAATATCGAAGTGTTCCCGTGCAACACTAGCCACGACTCGACGAAGATTTCGGTTCTGGTCCGGTTTTAAACGGCACATTTCATACCCCTAACATCACTTTCCTTCATTTCCGTGTTAAAGAGTAGTTTACTTTATATTTAAACTGATGCTAGTGCTGAATATACTGTATATTCTGATGTTAAATAACGATTTTTTCGCCCTAACCTCACTTTCCTTCATTATCATTAATTGTAATTTAATCACTTTCACGCACATAAAAATCAACATCAAATATACGCTTACGCGTCGGCTAACTGTGTGCCAACTTTCGTTAAAATATAGTGGTACCACGAATATTAAAAAATATTTTATTTTTTAAAATGTTACCACCCTATATCTCAAAAGTTAAAATGTTTTCTAATTTTAAAATGGACCCAAAAATCGCTCCTTAATTACTGACATTCATTTAGAAAACACCTTGAATATATAATTTTTTTAAAGCAAATAAAATTGACAAAGGGACAGGGAAAAAATAGGCACAAATTTTAACTTTAACTTGTTTTATTCATACGCTTTTTAAAGAAACACATTTTCATTTAAGAGCATCGAGTATTCACTACAATTCTATACAAGTCAAATCAGAATTATATTATGGCTGTTCAATCAAGTAACGTTTATTTAGTTTAAACACTCATCGTTACTTTTACTCCCTAACAAGTTCGACTTGAAGAAGCAATAGTTCGATCTGTCGCAGTATTTCCAATTTCCAAAGTCCAATCACTTTTCTTGGACCCGGCCAAAAGTTTGATAAGTATAGAAATATATGGCCACAAAAAGATTCGAAGCGCATTTAATAATAACACTAACACAAATCAAATGTCGATCACAGACTTCACAACCCCTCTTCTTCGTTAACCACTTTTAAGCGCCATAGATGGCGCTAAATTAAAATGTAGGCAATCCTGCAACGGTATCCAACGTTGTAATTGGAAAATATTCAAGAAAAATACGTCAAAAGCGACTCCGGAATTAATCAATGACCGATTTTAAGCTGCCGCGGAGGTGTAACGAGGTAAACTTTCCGTTTCAGCAATCAAACGAGTTCAGATAAGCATCACATGGAATCGAGCGGGTCGGAGAGCGAGGGCGAGGGCCACAAAATCTCCTCTTACAACCCGACCGACATCGTAGGCCCGAATCAGCTGAATTCCTACCCGATGTTGAGCGCGAGCGGCATCGGTCAACACATGACGTATCAGCCGTCGTCGGCCATCCTCCACGACTACCAGACCTTGTGACAGTGGCTGACGGTGCCGCCGGACAATATCAAACAATTGCAGCCTGTAAATAACTTTAGTTTCTATTGAGGATTTGGAATAAAGTGTTATCGTTTTATTATTGATAGCGGCGCGCGTTCGTTTTTTTTTTGTTGAATCTTGATAATATATACGTTGCGAAAAGTACTCGTGTAAACTTTAAAATAAAACACATTAAAAGTTTCGCTCTGGTCTTTTTTTTGTCCCCTGAACCACGTGAATCATTCATAGTATGCATATGAAAAATAACCACTGGCCTGCGACCATGTATATCTAAGACGAAATTTATGCTCTGTGACTTGGGTTAGATTCGATGATCTGTGCGCGGTCATTTGTAGATTGTCGCTTTTAGGGATGTTCCGATACCATTAAAGTATCGATACCTACTCATTTCGATTGTACTTTCGATACTTACTCATATCGATACTTTTAGCACTTTATTATTTTTCTAATTATTTTAAGGAAACTAACAGTGAACGTTGAAGGACAATGATTAAAACAAAATTACGAAGGAAAAGAAAACTTTTGTTATAAACGTTTGCGTCACGTTAAGCCTCTCTGATAACATTGGAATAATAAGCTGATGATTACAATAAATAAAATTATTCGCAAGCAATCTCTTGCATGTTTGACAATGAAAAAAAATGAAGGGCGGGCGTTTTACTCGCGTTTCCGATAATCTGCTTAAAACCGACGGAAATTGGCTCCCGACTTGGATATGCTATCTGATAAATCTCAAAAAAATCGAGAGCGCTTCCCGTTTTCGTCACCACGTGGCGACACCTTCCAACGAGCGTGCGAAGTAAGAGGCAAGACGAAATCTTTTAAAGTGGTCGCGATTTTTTCCTGATAGATGACTCCAGTCCAGCGGACTAACCAAAGGGGTCGATCTATTGCCCCTACGATTTCATCGGCTTCAGTGGTCGTTTTGAATTCTACCGTCTGACAGTCGTCAAAAATGGTGTAAACACAACAGAGCCTCGTGCACAGGCTTATCAGTGGTAATCGCCGAAAATAGCATCGATTCTCTCTGGTTTTTTTATGGCAGTATCGCCGTCAGTGGTTTCCTATTTCGTTTCGGAATGGACTTTTAGCGCGTCCCGATGATATTTGTTTTATAAACGCCAAGGTAATTGTACTAAAGTGTGATATCAAAATTGCGGGGATTTCAAACTCGCATTGTCTGCGTTTGTTTAATTTTTTTCGGGGGGCAGACAATGCACGTTTAAAATCCCACTGTATCAATATTTTCGAAACGGTGCATTTGCGGCAATTACGTTCGTCATGCCTTGGAAAAATAACCTCCTCTTGTTGGGGTTCCTGATTTGGAAAAAACGCGCGGGCGATGTTTCCGAGGTGTGTGTCGCCGACGGAATCGATATGTTTGGTGGTGTTTGGGTTATACTTCGGACACACGTAGCCCTTAAGCGCACCGTTTAATTGTTGCTTTTTTTGTTTCAGAAAACAATGGCAAACTACTGGGTATGCGCGGCCTTGTTCAGGTTCCTCATGCCCTTCTTGATGGGAACAAGTAAGTGCATCCGTCCAAGTTAATTTACACGGTTTTTCGAAAAACTGTTGTCTATAGTGTATAGTATATATATAGTATAGTATATAGTATATAGAAAATTTCAAACGCCGATTGCTATTCAAAAATCGAGGCCAAAAATTATAGGCATTTTAAGCAGGGCCAGATTATGGTTTTAATAATAACGTAATGATTTTGTAGGTATGAAAACTGAAAATGCGATTACATTATAATTACTGACGAAATGCGTTGTTTTTTTTTTAATTACATAGAAATATGGGAAATCGGTTATATTTAATATATCACATCATATATCGCACTTACCTGCGCAGGGAGTAAGTTATAAAAGGATTCACTTGAATTTTCTAGGAATGTATTAAAAAATAGATAAAACAAAACGTATTTATATAAAAGTTAAAGTTTTGAAGATTTTGTCCTTTAATTTTTGAAATTTCCGAACTAATAATGGGCATGGGCAAAATCTAATATAATAAATCGGAATTTGACTGTTTATTCATACAGGGCGATAAGAAGGCGATTTTTGGATCCATTTTAAAAAGAAAACTTCATATGAGCATGTGCCCTAAACGTCTTAAATTTTGATGATAAAGCTTTCAAAAATAAAATATATATTTTTTAATATCTGTAATAGTACTTTAGATATTTTAAGGAATTTTGGCACACATGTACTATGTATGAGGAGACATTATTTAGTGTACCATATTTTTTTTAAATGCACCAGTGGCTGGCGTACGGAATTTGACGTTGATGGAATGCTACTGATTTTTGTTAAAAATACAATTTCCGATCATTTGATATTTGATTTGATTTTTTTTCAATTCGATGTACGGTTTGCGCTTAAAAGAAATAAAATCCTCTTCCGCATAACAATAACCTTAATATGACAACATGCAGAGATATTAGTTTTTATTTTTTACTTTCACGGTTTTAATGGAATAACAACATCCTAACAATAAGATAAATAATAAAAGATTCTTATTTAAAAAAAAAAAAACGCGACCTACTGTTAATAATTTTTAACGAAATTGGCAGTCGTTGAAAATGTCCTCCAGCTTGAAGAATACACGCTTCAGCTCTTACCTGCAGTGTTTCTTATTAAATCGCAGCTCCTCTATAGTGTTAACTGGGATGCGATAAACCAGAGTTTTAAGGCACGGATGTGGTTCGCCTCGGAGATACGAAAAAAGATTTCGTACGAAAGTTTCTTGGACTGTCTCGAAGATTTAAAAAATTAGAATTTTGTTGATACAGGGTGTCTCAAAAGCAACTTTGTTATGTTAAATGGAACATTCTGAATATTTCGACATTTTTTGAATCCTCGTTTAAAATAAAGGCCACTTTCTTAAGAAATTCGTATTCGAATTTTCCATAGGTTAGCAATAACAAAATCGAATCTATATTACACAGCTTAACAGATTTAATAACACTTATTTAAAGCAACAATGTCAACTGTGAACTTTTTAAGTAGAAATATGAAAAACAATAAAAACAAACAGAAATGTCACAGCCAACCACATTTTTAAATATTTTGATTTAAACATTTTTAACTAAACTCTATCGACCGAATTGACGAACACTTTTTAGTTAATTTTTTTTATAGATTTTTTTATTCCAATGTCTTACCTTGTTTAGTTGGGAATTCTGAAGTTTTATTAAATCTGTATCATCAGTTAACTTGTATAATATAAAATTTCCACGTATATTTTGAACACCCTGTATTATTAGCAATAGGTTTTAAAAAAAGTGGTATCGTGTCTTTGCAATTTAAAAAATACCTAATAGTGCCAATAAGTGACCTAATGTGGGCCGCTTTCAATTCGACCTCGAATATCTCAAAAAGTAAGAAAATTTTAAATCTAAGAGGGATTACAGACTTACCTTTTTTTTTTCCTAGAATTCATATCTGAACAAAAATATAGTGCGTTCCATTTGAAAATCTTGTGGAAGTAACGCTTGGACTTGTTGAATATGAAAATCATGCAAAATTTCAAAGTTCAGGATTTTTATCAATAGAATTTAAAACTGCTCCCCCAGTTAACCTTCTGGTATTAGGAATGCGCTTTTAATATCTGTAAGTAAACTCGAACATTCTTTTTTTTTAAATAACAATGCTCAGATATTTTAAGCACCGAATTAATAGGACGCGAATAACGGACTCTAAAAATTTATGTCAAACAACATAGTTTAAGTATTTTAATAGATAATTACTTGAAAAGAAATTAAATTTCTATGGAAACGGTTGGAGATTGTGAGAATAATTTTTATTTTAATAGAAATCAGTGGCGTACCATCAGTGCGTGCCAAAATGGACTGGCGTATTTAAAAAAAAAACATAGCACATGCGAGGCAAATTTTAGAACATATGTTCATATGAAGTTGTCTTTATAAAATGGACCCAAAAATCGAGCCCTAAAAAAAACATTTTTTTAAATGAATTTTGGATTTTTTGACCGGAGGTTCCGGAAACCGGGAATGGTAACGGAACAAAAAACAAAATGGAGGGCGGCTCGTGTTTCGTTTGAGTGAAAAATTTTAGCGCGGTTCCGGGTGTTGGGTTGCAGCCCAACCCTGACCGGAGCGCGCCCCGCCCGGAAACTATCCCTTTCTGCGTCGAACCCCGGGGGAATCCGCGGCAAATACCATCCTCTATGATTACGCAAAAACTCGGTCACATAATAATCTAATCAGGGCAGAAAAACGTCGGCCGCATGGAAACGACCCGCCCGAATGTCATAACGCGTCGCCCTTAATCATACCGAGCCACTTTTATTATAATCGCCCCTGATTACTCCGGGGTTTATTGTCTATATAGGATGGTCGACCCGTGAAAGAAAACCGATCGTCCTGAGATCACGTAACAAAAAAATATCGATAATATAAGGATGTTTTACGATTTACTCACACAAGGTAACAAAAATAATATACGAGGTATAGCCTTGAGTTCTTCCAGCCATTTTTTCTTTATCTCCTCAATCGTTTCAAACTTCCTTCCTTTCATGGGTTACTTGGGTTTTGGGAACGGGAAAAATTCGCATGGGGCCATACCCGGTGAATATGGTGGCCCAAGGATGATTGTGGTTTTGTTTTTGGCCAAAAAATTAGGCGAGTGAGAGGGTGCACTATCATGATGAAAAATCAATGAATTGTTTTCTCACAATTCCGGACGTTATTCTCTTTATTGACCGTACGACCTTGTGGAAAGAACTGTTGATATACTACGTTACGATAATCAAAGAAAACGGTAAGCAAAACCTTGATATTTGTTCGAACTTGACGTGCTTTTTTTCGGTCTTGGCGATTCTGCGTTCTTCCATTGGGACGACTGGGCTTTGGTTTCGACCTGGACCATGATTAATCACAAGTTGTGGAAGATTTACCTAGAATGCGTGTATAAAAGAGAGACCAGAGCCAGAATAAATCGAATGTACCCTTAAAAACGTCGAAAATGGCAAAGCAAGTAGAACCGACGACATCCAAATAAAATCGCTTAAGGTTCACACTTTAATACCACGTACTCAACCGGGGCAATACGAAAAAAAAATGACTAACGTCCACATTTATAGCTATGGGATCAAATGTGATTTCACCACAATACTCTATTCGTCTTAAACATTTTTGCACAACGATGGTACGAACGAAGAGGTATCCGATAAAGTACAACGCCATGGTATGATAAATGAGTATAAGGATGTAGACGGCAGAGATATGTCGTTTGTCGTTTGAATAAAACTAAAGTTTCGATAGACTAGATTCCATATTATAAGTAAAGACTGTTCATAGATATAAGAAACTGCTACGAATTAAGGAAAATTGAAAAGTTCTTCTATAATAGCTATCTACATCGACCCTTGGACCCTTAAACAAAATATCAAAGATTCTACAGAAGCGCTCGAGAGATATTACTACCTACGGATCCTAAAAATATCATGGTTGGATGTTCTTCACAACATAAACAAAGACAATTATTAGAATTATCATACAGGGCAAAGGTATTCTGGCTACGGAATTTCAAGGAATTGCGTGTCCGAAGTTCTAGTGAATTATTTAACAGAGTGAGATTATCGGCAATGATATCCAATCTCCTCTGGGAGTGGCACCAGAAGAAGAAAGAGAAGAACAAAATAAAAATTATTGAACGTATGAAAAAGTCTACAGAATATTCGTTCTTGTGCGTTTTCATTCGATCTCAACCTCCGCAAAAATCGAAACTTCAATGGTATTTCAACCAAACGTTGAGCAAGTTGAGCGTTGCGTTTTTCGGAGTTCATGCACTGCTGCGAGGAGTGAAAAGAGGAGATGTACAACTGTAACTGTTATAATAAAAAAATGACCTCATTGCTTAATTTACAGACCTCTTATTTCATCCTTTGCGGTGGTTATTTTCCGATGTAATTCCAGGCATAATATTTCGCCCCACGTTGATATCGGCCTTGTACTTCCTGCTGACGTGTTACCTCCCGTTCGTGCCCGTACCGACAGAGGCGTCGATCAAGGGGCACACCGGCATCTATTTAAACGTTTTGGTGGCCGTGTCTACCGTAACGGCCTTGACCCAATTGGGCTTCCAGATCGCCCTGTTCGCGATGCCCCCCTACGCTCACTTCCTGAAGGTATAAAGGATATCGAAACTTGATGAATTTTCTATCCCCCGCCGCCTGCAGGACTGCGAGTTCTTGGAGAAGGTCCTGCGCCACGTGGGCTTCGTCAGACTGAACGGGGTCTCCCTCGTGGACGCATTCACTTGGATCTCCCCCGAGCCGATCATGCTAATCACCTCCGTGGTGTTTCTGGTGCTGTTGAAGAGGCTGATCGTGCCTCCCGACGATTGCCCCGAGCAATCGCAATTGGTGCGTCTCTCCAGTGAAGCGTTGAGGAAGGAGAACGAGACCAAGGCGAGGAAAAAGTATATCTCGTTTTTCGTGGGCGTCGGTAAGTTTCGCAAAGAGATCGGCAGACCCGGTGCCGTTTGAGTTTTCTGTTTCAGAAGGGTGTGGAGTAATAAAATCTCACCGTGCCTAGAAGTACAAAAATCTAAGTACCATAAACAGAAACAAGTTGAAATAGAGTACTATGTTACAAACGTGGAAACCACGAGAAGATTGCGAAATGATAGGGAAGTAATTATTTCAGCAACTAAATCATCCATCTACTTTTCTTTAATGACATGCTGGTGTTACTTACTCAAAGGCTCGATCAAACAAGAGCTTAAAGTAGTGACTGATTCAATTTTTCATAAGTACGACTGAATGTCACCATTTCACCAAACTAGTGTTCAAAAACACCCGAACTCGCTTGCAATATGGACGATGGTTAGTCTACAGGCACCTCAGTACCCCTTGACTGGTCTTTAGTGAAAGTTTGGGGTCCACTAATCCATATCTCATTAACTTGGATGATTTTCTTCTGCCCTGTTCCAGACTTCTTCATTATTTTCGTCGCCAGCAAGTGGTCAAAAATGACAACAAAACTTATTTATTAGTACGGTATTTTCAATAAGGATGAAACTGGATGGAATGTCACATTTTATTACTCTACACCGTTCTGAAATAGACTATAATAATTTACGTTTCCTTTTTTCATTTCGGTCATTACATTAATACTGTTGATGTTGATGTTACTGAAATCACTGAAACACCTAGTACTAAGATCCTACCCGTCGCAGTCACAAAAGAGAAAAAAAAGGGGCAATAAACAAATTAAAAAAGTAAAGGAAAATTTCGTTTTCTCATTGTTTCATTTATTTGGTTTATTTGATGTTTTGTTATGTTGTAACTAGAACAGCAGTATATGTTACGTTAGTTAAGAAAACAAGGAAAAGGAAAATAGAAAGGAAATAAAAAATGAAAGTAATGAAGAAAAAATCTGCAAACTGAACAATAATAAGATTCCTAATTCATAAGGATTCTTAAAATCACGAATATTTATATAAATGAATTACTTGATCAACTGGCAACCATTTATACAAAATGTGAAATAGTTAAAATCTTGGCGCGACTAATTAGAAGAAAGCTTTCTTTTATACATTTGGTGTAATCGAAGATTAAATAAAAACTATTGTATGTATTGTACATCCATAATTCATTAATTGATCTTGAAATCACAAACAAGTATGTAAAAGAATGACAACCATTTATACAAAAAGACGAACTTGTTGAAACTTGAAAGCGGCTAATAAGAAGGTTGCCTTTGAGCACAATCAATCAGGGCTTTAGTCAGCCTGTTAAATACAAATTATACTTTGAAACCATTTATACATATGGTATAATTAAGAATAATTAAGGATTAAATAAAAACTATTGCATGAGAAAGGTTGACTTTAAGTACAACCATTTACAAAAACATACATACTTCATTAAGGTATCTTTAAATCACAAACAAGTATATAAAAGAATTACAACAATTTTTACAAAATGATGAAATTGTTGAAACCTTAAAACGGCTAATTATAATTATATACCTTATAATATATTATAATTATATACCTTTGAGCACAATCAGTCAGTGCTTTAGTCAGTCTGCTAAATACAAATTATGCGTTGAAACCATTTATACATATGCTATAATTAAGAATTAAATAAAAAATATTGTATGAGAAAGGCTGACTTTAAGTACAACACTGTAGATAAGCATTCATAATTCATTAAGAATTCTTTAAATCACAATCAACTTTATAAAAGATTTAAAACCATTTCCACAAGATGATGAAATGGTTAAAACCTTAAAACGGTTAATTGAGTAAAACCAATCATTACTTTAATCAGCCTGTTAAATACAAATTATGTATTGAAACCATTTATACAAATGGTATAATATTGTAGAAGAAAGGCTAACTTTAAGTAAATGCACTTAGATAAACAATCATAATTCCTTAAGGGTTCTTTAAATCATAAACAACAATATAAAGGAATTAAAACCATTTGATGACATTTTTAAAACCTTGACACGGAGAGAAAACTTGCTCAGGATCTTGCGTGACCTCGCACGTTATCCCCCTAGGCAAATACGGAGTGTTGGTGACTCTGTGTCTGGCCGGCGTGCTGAGACCGTCCGTCCTCGGCGGCCTCTACTTCCTGGTATTCCTGTCCGTCGCGACGTGGTGGGCATGCTGTAGAAGTTTGCGCCGCGGCTTCGCCATACTGATGTGCTGCCTGTTACCTTTTGTCTTTTGTCACATGTGCGCCCTCTACGCTTACCAGTTCCAATGGCCGCAGGAACTTTTGGACAAGAACACAACCTACGCTCGGTAGCGTAATAGAGTCGCTTGTTGGGGGTGGCCTCACGATGCTACGTTTCAGTTACTTCGGGCTGACGCCCCTCAGGGTGTCCAGCTGTGAGGACGGCGCCGATCCCCGAACATTCTCGTTCGAAATGGCCGAATGGGCATCGTACGTCAATCCGTTTGCCCTCTACTGGCTGTTTTATCTGTCGGTTCTCGTCGTCAAAGAACTACTGCGGCCGGACGTAAGTACCGCCAGGTGGCGTGGTCGCAGTCGACTTTGGATAATCCGTATCCGCTAACCAAATATGGTGTCCATTACTTTAACCGCACGTTAGTTCGCCACAGTTAGCCACTAACACACTAACGATTTTCCAGTTGGTTAAGAAACAGGGAGCGTTTACGCGCCTGGACGGCAGTCTCAGAGGTCGTCTCGGTCGGCAAATGTCCGACAAGATGACAAAAAAACAACTGATGCGTTCGGTCACGACGCGCCACAAGTGGCAGAGCGCCACTCGCAAAGTTCGAGTAAGATGGTCTTAACCGAAACGAACGTTTGCGGTTCTCGGGCTGTTGCATGGACGCGTTTTTTTTCTGCAGAGCATCTTGGTCGCTGTGAATGTTGTAGCAGTTCGTCGTGTAGAATACATAAAATTTTCGAAAGTTATAAGTGGTTAAAACCACCGACCTTTTGTATACCGACTCGTAATTAATAAAAAAATGTTTAAAGTCCAGGGAAAACAAAGTAATAAAATCTCTCTGGTCTTATATTGCTATTGAGTAGAAGATGGTAGAAAAATGTAACGCCTAATACCAATTAAACAACCATTTCATGATTCATTAAGGATTTCCAAAAACCATTTATACAAAATGATGAATGGTTACGGTCACGGTGGCACCCATATAGCTACTAGACATATAGAGGCCCTTGCCTATGCTAATAGTGCAGGAACTATGTAACAAAATTTTGAGAAGGTCTGGCCAATGTGTGCGCGACATTTGAAACTTCGTTTTTAAACCGATGGCAGCTCTAATTCCATTTTCTGACGTTCGACCCATAAATCCTTCCAACAACCAACATGGCCGCTACCAGGTCGCCAATGTTTGGATGCAGTAAATGGAATTAAGGTGTAGACAGTGTAGAATTACAGTACACGGATCGGCGTCCTCAGTATAATTCTGTAAGTACTTGGTTCTTTAAGCGATACCAGCTAATTTTTCCCGAATTTGTGCTCTCTAAATCGACGCAAACCGTTTGTTTTTATAAACTTAATAGTTTAACTTCTATTGAAAATGTAAATAAAGTCGAATTTACGAAATGTGACTATAGAAACCACTTTTAAGTATTTTAAATTAACTTGTACATAAGGCAATATTTACCCGTATATAGGCGTTGCCAATTATAGTCGGGTTTCAGAGACGGATTTTGCGTTCTTATGAAAATTAGTCAATTTTTTCAGAAAAATTACGGAAATGTGGCAACTCAGTTAGTTGGGGCGTGATACATGCGCAAAAGATCCACACCTTCTCTACGAAAACATAGTCACTTTTTACCGTAGTAGGGCCACTATATTATCTTATAGCTATAGGGCGGCACTCAGTCGTAATTCATTGAGGGCGCCTTTAAAACAAGCTTAAACCGTTTCTACAAAAATTTCAATTGGGATAAATTGAAGATCTGTTCTGATAAGTTGACAAGCGTTTATAGAAATGGTTAAGAAGGTTGCTTAGAAAAAAGTTGTCCTTAATAGGAATCATCACGTCAGCTTGTTAAACCCAAATTACATGTTGAAACAAATATATAAAGAATTAAGTAATAAAATGATAACCATTCATACTAAATCATGAAATTGTTAAAACCTTGACGCGATTAGTTAGAATGATAAATAAAGATAAAATATAAAATGTAGCATGGTGAAGTTTGACGTTAAGCCCAACCATTTGGATTCACAATACATTAAGGGTGTTTTAAATCGCAATTATATAAAAGAATTTATCACGTAATAAATAAATTGAACACCATTTATACAAAATTATGAAATGGTTAAACCTTCTTACCGTTAATTATAACGTTGCCTTCTATACAGAGGGTTCAATTAAAGATAAATAAGTCGATTGGAAGTTAAACAGTCTTAAATATACAAACTACATGTTAAAACCATTTTGACACGAAGTACTTCTTAAAACCATTTATACAAATACCATCGATATCGAGGTTTCTTAGCTACACGGTCATTTTTTTAATTTTTGGATTTTTTTTACTCCTGTAAATATGTACATTTTGCGCAAGATGGTCGCCAAGTTAGATTGTTCGTTTTTTTCCCTTATGATTTTTTGCTTCTTATAAGCTTTGCCCTCATGGTTTTTTCTAGGATCGCACCGAGAAAACGAAAGAGGTCACAGAACCTAACGAAACGACTCCAGTATGTATATCACTTTCTTTACGTTTTTTTTTTTTTATTTAAAGTAGATAGTTTGGCTTTGAGACGGGTGATGGAAATGTCATTGCATGCTCGCTGTCCGAAATCGTACTAATCCTGGGTACCCGATAACGCCTACAGTTTTTTTTATATCCCCTACAGCTCATGAGGGGAGTAAGTCCGTCTTGGAGGCACGGCTCGAGCAAGAGGAGTGGGATCACCCAAGACTCGATAGGCAGCGTGACAGTCGACGGGGAGAACACCGAAGAAATTCCGATGAACGAGATGGGTAATTTGTTTTCCAGCCGTTCGGGGGATTTTCGTGGCGTGGTCTCTTCTCTGAAAGCGTTTCACGTTTCTCTTGATATTTTTTGAGGTTTAAAAAATTAAGCAACAGGCAACGCTTTATGAATGTACTTAAAAACCAGAGGAAAACCTTTAATTTCGAGGTCTTCCGTCGAATTCAACCAAATTGTATATTAACGGTCTGCTTAAAGCTCGATGTTGATATATCTTTGTTTGCCAAGGTGCTTCAGAAGAAGACGGTGGGTACACCCTGGTCGAAAATGTCATTTACATTTTGGAGACGATCCTGGAATTAATCATCAAAGTGTCTTACTTGGGTACGAACATCATAATGATGGTGAGTAACCAGGCCTCCAACATTATATACAAAGGAGATCGGACTCCTCAAAGTGAACTGATCAAAACACAGCAACTGTCACGCCTTGTCGTGTTCTCGTTTGGTGACATACTCTTTCGAGTCCGGAGTCGAAACGAAATACACTATGAGGTCTTCTCCTAGGCGTGGAGCATAACCTACATCAGTTGGATAACGTTCGTCCTTCTGATATGGGCGAACCTCATATGGCTCGTGCCGAACCAAAGAAAGAGCATGCTGCAATCGAGCCCGTTCTTGGTGTTTTACGCGTGGTTCCTCCTCCTCTCCGCTTACGTCTACTCGATGAATTTAACGGAGGAGGAGTTACCGTCGTCGATCAAAGGGTTCAACCTGCAGCAGATCGGATTCGCCAAGGTGCTCGTTTTACCCTGCAACCCTTTACTCGTAAAATGTTTATACACCACCATGTTTTGGATCACCCTTAGGCAGTACATGCAGGAGAGGTTGTTGGAGAGGCAGAGTAACGCCTTGGCGGACATGGTCGCCCCGTTGCAGGTCACGGTCGGCGCCGCCACCTCCGGTGGGTGTTTTGTATTTTCTATTTTTCCATTAAAAGTTTAACATTTTGAGTTTACTTAAGGTGCGGCCGAGTCGGAAAAGAAACAGACCAAAGTGATGGACGTGATAGGCGTGTACCTGAAGAAGTTTCTGACGAAATTTTGGATATGGGTGGTCGCCATTACCTTGTTTGCGGTGGCCATAACGGGTCAGAGGATGACCGGTTTTAGGATCGTTTATATGGCCCTCTTTTTGATATTCATCTTGTCTTTCCAGGTTGGTCCACCTCTTAATTACAATTACGCTTATCTTATCATCTCACAAATCTAAGTTTATCTCCGTAATTTCCATTGTCTAGCTGTCGTTTACGATCTGGCGCAAGATGATGTTCGGTTTTTGGTTGATCGTCATCATTTTCTCGATGATGGTGCTGGTGATGACGTACACGTACCAGTTCGATAACTTCCCCGACTACTGGACTGAATATCTTCACGTCAAAAAGGAACAGTGAGTGTTCGTATCCGCCGCTCTTCCTCCTCAAAACACGCATCTTGCAGGCAACTCGACATTGGTTTGGAAAAATTCGAGACCAAACAGCTGTTCGTCCGGCTGGTCACCCCTACTTTTTTCGTCATCATAACCGTCGTCCAGCTCCATTACTTCCACAAAGATTTCATGGAGCTCTCCGATCCGAGAAAAAGCAACTTCGTCGACGGAGACGTCGATGACGACGCCCTCAACGAGAGTTCCATGCAGGGCGGCTCGGTGATCGAGAAGAGCGACAAGGAGGACCTCACCTCTTCGTCGTACAAATACGAACTCAGTGAGCTAAATGGTAACAAATGCGGGGGGATAGCTTGAACCGTTCATTGATACTACTATGGACTACCCCTTCGCAGATTTAACATTCAAAGAATTCCTGGAGAAGTGGCTGTCGAGACTCCACAAGACCCTGAACCTCTTCTATCTGCTCATGGAGATCCACATGCCGAAAGTGGTGCTGTTCTTCGCGATGCTGCTGTGCGTGTACGACAAGTGCGCCCTCTACTTCGGCCTGATCGTCATGATCTCGTGCTCGTTCACCCTAGGCAGGCCGGTGCAGATGTTCACCATTTACTCGAGCTCGATACTGGTGTCGCTGTTCCTGCTGTCGCGCATGCTGTACCAGATCAAATACATCGACCCGGGAATCTGGAACGTCACGTGTGTAAGTAAATTTTTGTGCTCGTTGCAATTTTTTCTCTTCTCTGTTCTCTGTAACGGACATTGGGAACGTTTTTGAAGCCGCCTAAGCCTCGAACGGTCGATATGGAGTTGTAATTCGGCAGAAAGTTAGAGTTCTGTTCCTAGATGTAACTTGCCGAATCTGGGCGTGATCGGAATTCACGAAGTATTTAAAATAAAAATTCGCCAAAAATTTTTCGGGATTTGAAAAACTCAAAAACCGCAAGTCCGATCGAAGGGACGCCGAGATCAGAAAACGCGTGAGATTTGGGACGATAACCTGAAAATATCGCTTCAGCCAAGTTATACAGGGTGCGCGGGTTGTAGACAGAAAACGTCACCGGACGAAACGCCAACAACCTGCCCTGGTTGGGTTTCGACAAGGTCGACGAAGTCGACCGCTCCATACCGAGCCTGGTGAAATGGAACATCATTTACATTTTGGTCGTGACCATCTATTCGGTGGTGTTGATCCGCCAGTTTTACTATAGAAGATCGATGAACCGGCCCACGTCGCGGGCGTTCTTCATGTTCCCAAGGATAACCAAGGCGGACGCCGACAAGAACCTGAGCAATATGTTCAAGTACCTGGCGAACTACACGTTTTTCAGATTCGGCATCGAGGTTAGGGCCGCAGGACGTGGAAGTTTCGGGCGAAAACTTTTTTTTTTTTTTCACAGATTACGTTCATCGCAACCGTAGCGGTGACCAGCATCCGAATGGACATGTACGCCGTTTTCTATTGCGTATGGCTGATCTTCCTCTATTCGCTGAAGAGGCGCACCATGGCGAGGGTGTGGGTGTTTTTCGTGTTGTTCGTGGCTATCCTGCTCCCTGTGCAGTATTTCATGGCGGTCGCGTTGCCGCCGACCCTTTGCATAGGTCGGTTGTACAGGACACTTTATTAGCGGCCTGCACCGTTTCTCGGGAACCACTGATTTTAGAAACAAAAAAAGTTTACACATAAGTTTTATGGTGTAAATTAAATTTGTTTTTTTTTACAGATACAGTGCAGGGCCGACATTAGTTTTAAATTTTTAAAGGGAACGCCCTATATATTTTGATATTTTTAGAATCCTCGCCAAAAATAAAGGTAACTTATGATTATATAGGATTACTTGATCAAATTAACACATTTTTAGAAGACTTTCTTCTAACGGTCTGCGATTATACAGGATGTCTTAAATTTAGTCTTAAATTTTGTCTTTAACACTAAATATTTCGTCAATTTATTTGTTGACTTCTTCAGGAGTGAAAAAATTAGAGTCTACCACATAGTTCCTCGAAAGAATACATTTAATTTAGTTAAGGTAAATGAACGAAGCGACATAATGAAACAAACGGATCTTTTTTTTTTTTAGATTGGTAGCGAAAAAACAATCAAAAAACAATTGATATAAACAATCCGTCCGTTTGTTTCATTATGTCGCTTCGTTCATTTACCTTAACTGGAATGTATTTTTTTGAGGAACTATGTGGTCGACTCTAATTTTTTCACTCCTGAAGAAGTCAACAAATAAATTGACGAAATATTGCACTATATTCCGAGATATCATCCGTTCGCTCGTTGAACTCCGACTGGAATCCTGCAAATCCTGAATCCGACTGGAATCCTGCAGACGTTTCGCCAAAATCTCACTTGGCATCTTCAATGCTGCTTCCTTCTAATGATGACTAGGTATTTTAGAATTATGCATATTTTTAATATTTTTTCTCAACACTTGGAATTTCTTCTTATATTGACCGTACTAAACTTATTTGAATTCAAAGGATATCTGGTAGCGGTCCGTGGTTAAAAAAAAAAACAAAGAAAATGGAAAGCTCCTTTTTCTTTAACACTAAATAACTTCTTCAGGAGTGAAAAAATTAGAGTCTACCACATAGTTCCTCGAAAGAATACATTTAATTTAGTTAAGGTAAATGAACGAAGCGACATAATGAAACAAACGGATCTTTTTTTTTTTTTTAGATTGGTAGCGAAAAAACAACCAAAAAACAATTGATATAAACAATCCGTCCGTTTGTTTCATTATGTCGCTTCGTTCATTTACCTTAACTGGAATGTATTTTTTTGAGGAACTATGTGGTCGACTCTAATTTTTTCACTCCTGAAGAAGTCAACAAATAAATTGACGAAATATTGAGTGTTAAAGAAAAAGGAGCTTTCTATTTTCTTTGTTTTTTTTTTAACCACGGACCGCTACCCGATATCCTTTAAAATCGTATATATATATATATATATATATATATATATATATATATATATATATATATATATATATATATATATATATATATATATATATATATATATATATATATATATATATATATATATATATATATATATATATATATATATATATATATATATATATATATATATACATATATATATATATACATATATATATATACATATATATATATATATATATATATATATATATATATATATATATATATATATATATATATATATATATATATATATATATATATATATACATATATATATGATGACACTATATTCCGGGATATCATCCGTTCGCTCGTTGAACTCCGACTGGAATCCTGCAGACGTTTCGCCAAAATTTCACTTGGCATCTTCAATGCTCGCGCTCCGAAAACACTTCGAACACGCGCGAGCATTGAAGATGCCAAGTGAAATTTTGGCGAAACGTCTGCAGGATTCCAGTCGGATGCAAGATTTGCAGGATTCCAGTCGGAGTTCAACGAGCGAACGGATGATATCCCGGAATATAGTGTCATCACATTTTTCCATCCGTGAATCAATACGTGAGAATATATATATATATATATATATATATATATATATATATATATATATATATATATATATATATATATATATATATATATATATATATATATATATATATATATATATATATATATATATATATATATATATATATATATATATATATATATATATATATATATATATATATATATATATATATATATATATATATATATATATATATATATATATATATATATATATATATATATATATATATATATATATATATATATATATATATATATATGTATATATATATATATATATATATATATATATATATATATATATATATATATATATATATATATATATACACGCAGGATTCCAGTCGGAGTTCAACGAGCGAACGGATGATATCCCGGAATATAGTGTCATCATATATATATATATATATATATATATATATATATATATATATATATATGTGATGACACTATATTCCGGGACATCATCCGTTCGCTTGTTGAACGCCTACTGGAATCCTGCATCCGACTGGAATCCTGCAAATCCTGCATCCGACTGGAATCCTGCAGACGTTTCGCCAAAATCTCACTTGGCATCTTCAATGCTCGCGCTCCGAAAACACTTCGAACACTGTCAATCAATCAATCAATTTTTGTCTAAGCTACACAAAATTCGAATAAGTAGCTTCTATAAAAGTTACCTTTATTTTTGGCGAGTATTCTAGAAATATTCCGTTCCGTTTAAAATTTCAACACTAATGTCTCTCCGGGACTTATCGGACACCCTGTACATATAAAAATTAAATAATTTTCAAATTTACTTTAAACCATGAAACTTTTGTGTACACTTTTTTTTCTAAAAGAAAAGATACAGGCCCCCTAATAAAGTGCACGCCTTGTACGTTTCGTCCATTTTAAAACGGAAAAAATTGAAAGTCGCCGGTTCCAGATTACCCGTGGAATAGCGACCCGTACTGGCTGCGCCTGCAAGAGTGGATGTTTCTGATGAATGACGTGCATCCTCCGAGTCCCGTCAAACTCATCGGCGACTTCTTCCTTTTGCTGTTCGCGTCGCGCCAATGGGTCGTGTTCCGCATAGAGAGGCGGTACTCGGGTCGCAACTACGCAGGCGGCAGCAACGAGGGCGTCGCCCATCTCATTGAGGAGCCCGACTTTGAAAACCCCCTACCCGACTTTATCACCTACGCCAGGTAATTATAGTTACGTTTTTTCCAGAAAAAACTATTAAAAATATGGCTGATCGTTTCAAAAATAGTACCATATGCTGCATCAAGAGCTACAATTTTTGTATTTGCGGTTTTCATCTATCTCAGACGCTGCTCGAGATATTTGAAAAAACCCATATGAAAATCACTATTCCTTGGGTTCAGTCATGACGCGATGACGTCATTGATTATTACTGCACCCTTTCAGAAAAAACTTCTTTTCTGGAAAACCATTTACTATTTTGGAAAAATTCTTGCACCCAAACACGTAGGAGATCCGCAATTTTTTCAATTATGTAACACGGTGTGTCTGTTATAGGTAAAAATATCTAAAAGACCCTGAAAATTGCCTTTTTAGAGGATAAAATATTAGCCGTAAATGAAAAATTATAAAGCATGGGATTATTTGGTTTAAACAACGTCATAAACTGTATCGAGAGAGTTTAAGGTTTCGTCTATCACACAGGGTGCGTGAGATACTGAGATACTTGAAATAATATCATTGGCAATCGTTATTACTTGTACAATTTTTTATATTTATCAAATTTGGTTTGAAATATAATATAATACAATATAATTACATCGATTTTGCGAAAGTTCCCTATTAAAAAAAGTATATACCAGCAAGCGTGGGAGATCCAGGGCTATAAATTTTAGTCCAGACATTTTTTGGATTATTATCATAGTATGGGCAAAAAATAAACAAAAAGATTCTGAAAATAGCCGTTTTCGTGGGTAAATTATTATCCGCAATTGAAAAACTATAAAATATGGGATAATTGTGTTTAAACTGTCTCGAGAGAGAGTTTCAAGTTTCGTCTATCGTACAGGGTGCTCCAGATATCTAAAAAATATCTTTAAAAATTGCTATTAATTACTAAAATTTTTGTATTTACCAAAGGTTGCGGTGACAATGTGCAAAACAATGGATCCATCTAGGACAAAATAAAAAATAGAAAATACAAAACGTACTAGTCCTGAAAATATTTCGCCCGTATCGCACAACACCCTATATTTTGTTCCAACATTGATGACGTCGCGCGATTTCCCGCAGGTCGTACCTCGACATCGCCAAACGTTGCGTGTTCTGCAGCATGTTCTACATCTCGCTGGCGGTGGTCTTCTTGGCCGGTACCAACCGTACCAACTTGTTCTCGGTGGGCTACCTGATCGGGGCCTTCCTCTTCCTGTGGGAGGGTTCCGACCTTTACCTGCGTCCGATACCTGACATCGTGAAAAAGTAAGAAGCCCTCCCACTCAAAGTCCCTATATCATCGTAACTTCGTAGATGGAACTGGCTGCTGGGTTACAACGTGGTCGTCATATTTCTCAAAACTTGTTTTCAACTGGTCGGCTGCGTGCTGGTGTTGGGCTACAACGGCGAATGCTACTGGATGCTGCTGTTCGGCATAGGGTGCGTGCGTAAATTTGGCAACGTCGAGGACAGTGCCGACATACCGATCGACAACACGTGCAAGGTGCCCAAGGAGTATTTGGGCTTGTTCTGGGACAGCCTGTGCTTCACGTTGCTCATCATGCAGAAGCGACTGTTCCAGAGCTACAACTTTTTCCATATCGTCAACGACGCGAAGGCCACCACCATTTTGGCCTCTCGAGGTGGGTGTGGTCCAGTTTTTTTGGGAGTGGGGTGGGGTGTTGAGTTGCTGGTTTGTGCGCAGGCGCCGAGCTGATCGAGGAGATGCGGATCAAACGGATGAACGAGCAGGTGGAGGAGGAGAGGCGTATCTTGGAGAAAATCAAGATTAAAATGGACCGGATCAAGGCGACGCAGCAGAAGATCGAAGGTCAGTTTAGTGATTGGGGCCGGGCTATTAATTGTGACCACAAAAAAATCGAAGCTGGCAGCTGAGTGTTGTTGGTCGGGTTGGTTTTGGACGCACTGAACGGCAGGGAATTTATTACTTATCAAGTTCGCCCTAGTAGAGAGGACGCTTTTGAGATAGCAAATATGCAGATATCCTACTGGGTACCGATCGAACCACTTTACCGTTGGCAACACAGTTTAGAATATATAATTGCGAGTGTACAGTTATTCGATCGTACATTTGGGATTATAGCTAACCAATTATATTTTGCCTCCAACAGATTGGTTGATGTAATATAAACAAAAACCATGATTCATTGATTCAAAGCATTTTCCTTGATGGTTATTTTGTTTTTTATAATCTTTAATTTTGAGGCACGTCAGGTTTAAGTTAAGGTCGTGTTTGAATCTTTCCGCCAGAGACGTGGAACTGCCGAAAATTAAAATGACGTTATTTTTATTGTTTATCAATTTTGCCCTGGTAGAAAATAAAACCGCACCCACCGTTTGACTGGACGGACTTTGAGGTATCAAAATTACAGATACCTAACTACGCGGATTTAATTTCGTTATTCGTCTCCAGATGGCAGCACCGCTTAGAATTTACATTACGGTGAGTGTACAGTCATTCGAGCGTACACTCGCAACGTTCAAAATAAAACCAGTGATGAAGGTTTAAATGATCATACGTATAAAAGGCATTTTCCTTTATGGTTATTTATTCCAGGTTGAAATGTATTTTTATTAGTTTGTCAATTTTGTTCTTGTTGGGGGGGGGGGATATTGCGAATGTACATTTTTTCAATGCTACACTCGCAAAGTTTACACTTAAAAGTACAAGACCAAGTTGCCAAGTTCACAATCGATTTTTTAATGGTCACTTAATATAATAATGATTTAATATATTAAAAATAGAAATATATAATTAAAAACAAACGATTAATTGCTTTTCCATAAGGTACTTAATTTTTATCTGTTCATGTTTTTCATTACTTACGAGTTCTGTCGGTGGTTGTTTTTCCGTTTTTTTAATCCTAAAAGTAACCCCCTAACATTGATGGGTCGGTTCGTGGGTCGACTTTATGTAACCGCACCACAGTATGTAAAAGCAGTAACACGTAATGATCCTCCACTCTCGTCTGATCTACGCGCAGCGAAACCTCCCTTGGCCCGAAACTCTTCAGCATCGACGTGCTCGTCGGTCGCGTCTCAAGAGACGAACCCGCCAGGCTACCACACCCCCATTGAAGAGGAAGACGAGGAAGGTCCGCCTCCGACACTCCTGTCGTCCACGCAGCCGCAGGGACCGCCCTCTCCTTACTCCGCGGTAATGACAGTCTCCCTCGAGGGATACCTCGAACCCCAGCGGATCTCTTTCTCATCGCCCCCCATGTCGGAACTGAACCCTCGCGTGCCCTCGCCCGACGAGAGTTTCCCCATTTTCTCGCCGCCCTACAATGAGGTGCCCCCCTATGAGGAGGCGGCTACCCGCGGACCAGTTCAAAGGCAGACGAGCCTGGGACCTCCATGGATGCAGGGCAGCCTGATCACGCCCAGGCAGAGCATCATCTCTTACTCCTCGCGCTCCCATTTCAGCCACTACGAATGTAATTGGAGTCGCATAGTATTCGCCCGACCTGTATATAAAGCCGAGTCGTTTGCCTGCCACTTTTATTTTTGCCCATTGTACATACCGACGATGTATATACGTTTAAACAAGGGACTCTATAATGGAATTTGGAAATATTGGGATAGCGCAGTCGTCTTTGCCGTTAGAGAAGTGTTACAGCACTGGTCAGTGAACCGAGAAACTCGTAATATACCATCCGTGATACCCCAGAGCCCTAGGTTTAAATATTGGCATCGAAGAGACACGGGAAATTACATCTAAGTTCTAGAAGAAACAAAAACCGGCAAACACCAACCCATGCCTACACAGTTTAGAATTTAGATTGCGACGATTGATGCGAACGTACAGCCATTCGAGTGAACCTCGCAACATTTACATTCGCAAACACAAGACCTCGAATAGAGTATTTATCGATTTTGCCGTAGTAAAAAGAGAGACCTAACATTGACCATCCCTCGACGAGATCTTGAGATAGCAACATTACGAGAGTTATCGCGAGGGTACCACCATTCCAATGTGCACTAAACCTAACTTGCGAGTGTACCGTCGTTCGAGCGTACACTCGCAACGTTTGCATTCGCAAACACAAGGCCTCGAATATATTATTTATCGAAGAGAAAGACGTGATATTCACCGTCCTCCGACGAGATCTTGAGATATCAAAATTACGAGGGTTATCACGAGGGTACCGCCATTCCAGTGTATACTGGCAACAAAATATATTATCGAAATGTTGCAGACATAGCAGGAAATTACAGTTGAAATTTGCCATAGTTATTTCGAGTGTACCGTCGTTCGAGCGTACACTCGCAACTTTTACATTCGCAAGTTGATAAACGGCTGGTTAATGTAATTGAAATAAAACCAGCCGCTCTCCAGATCGCAATAAGTTGCAGATTGCAAGAATTGGCGTCTCCCTTGAATTTCGATCATCCTTGTATATACGTCACGTGAAATACGATTGATTTCCATTTGCGACTTGTATTATTTTAAAATGTTCGTGTATATATTTATTTTAATTTGTTTCGTAAATGTTAATTGTCTTATGTCGCTTATATTTATTGTTTTGCTTATAGATTCGGTTATAGAACGTAGACCTAGGTATAGAAGGAGGCAACCGAAAACTTTCAAAGAGGGTAAACAGATTTTTTTATCCGTATTATAGTTTTTTTTTTTTGGTACTTTAGTGACCTTGGAGCAACCTTTGTTTTCCGGCGTTTTTTTTATAAATATGTAATTATTAACTTTGGTTGTTCATTGTCAGTCGGTCGTATCAGAAAAAGTTCGAGTTACGACGCACGAATCAGACATTCACATTTGTACGTACTACGCTGAGAGTTAGATGTCCGCATGCCTATCGTACAGTTCAGCCTCGATTGTCCGAAGCTAGATCATCGAAGGCGGACTGTACCTTTCTATTCACGCATTTTTTTCTCGATTCGCTTAACACACTACTTAGCGCTTGTCGCATGCCAGTCGCACGTCGTACGTTTTCCTCGTCCACAGCATAGCGTCCTTCTGCGGTCCGTGGTCAATTGTGAATAATCGTTTCGATCCACATTCTTAGTAATTACCACTGGTTCGGGTGGTTATTTGCGAATTGACCACGCTAGGGGGCGAGCCTTGAAAAATATACCGTCTTTTTTTCTCGATAGCAATTCGCTCCGGCGATTATTATATGTTCGACGACGTCGACGACGACGAACTCGACTTGCTGCCTGAGGAAAAACAGGACGAAGACGAGGTCGACGATATGCCCACGATGGGAGAGGTGAGATTTTCGAAAATATTTAATTTTCGCCCTTTGTCAAGCGATGTTGTTCCTTCCAAATTTAATTTTATTATTCTTATCTTTTTTTCGTTTTCCAAATAAGTTGGTGATCAGTCGGTTGCATTGTTTTCAGTTTCTGAACGCCGCCATTAAAACCGATGTGGCAACGGTGTTGAGGGAACGTCGCAAAAGCATGAAACGAAGGTCGAGCGTGCCCTTGGCCCGGAAAAAGTCCGCCAGATCGACCATGTCCGCCCCCTTGTCTGCCCCGCCCGCCGTAAGTGTCTGTTCTCTGTAACGCGGACTTCCGAGATTTTTTTGGAGCCGAATAACCTCGATAGGATTCGAGCTACGGACTTCAAGTTTTCCCACGTTCTAATACCGGGCATTGTGCAGAGTGGCCCGCAAAATGTCGAGTCAATCAGAAATCGGCGGCCATGTTGTCGGCTATTGTTGATATTTGTTCGAAAAATCGTTATACAATAAAATAAGCGTCCGAAATTTCGAGGTATCTAGTTGAAATTCTGCAATAAATTAGAGTTTCATCCCGTTGAAACTGGACGGGATCGGAATTCCCGAAGTATTTTTTTTTTAAATTGAAAATTTTTTTTTCGGGTTCCGAAAAACTCGGTTCTCTCGAAAACCGTAACTACGATCGAAGGTATTCTGGAAAAATATCACTTCGTCGAAACTGTACAGGGTGTGCCGGTTATAGGCGAAAAACTGAACATTGCCATTGTTGCATTGTTCTCGCTTTTAAAACAGACGCTACTGTATTTAGAAGTGCTGGAAATGAATTTATCAACTGTTCTCCTACAGTACTTCTTAAGGAGAGACTTAAGGAGAGCTGTAGGTAGGTTACCTTAATTTCTGACTATAAAGAGGTAAGGTGCATATGGTGCTAGGTACACCCATGCCTGTTGTGGCAAAGATAAATTATGTGGAAGTGACGCTTGTTTTTCCAATCTATTTGCTATATTTCGGCCGATCTTAGGTGGAGGAACAGACGTCGAAGAGTGTCACGATTAAGGAGGATCCTCAGCCGAGTACCAGCAAAGACGACGACATTAGCGACATATCAGAGTCTGGTACGTAACAACGTAGTTTTAACGGAAGCTTTTGGATTAGGTGGAGCATTACGGTTTTGGCCGTGACGTCACGATGATCAAAACACATAACCTACAACGTACCGCACGTTCCATTTATCTTGATAACATTTTAATTGGCTGTAGCTTTTTTGTTTTTACTGACATCAAGGTATTTTTTTAATGAAAAACCCTGTATATTATATATGTGTTTAACAGAATATCTTATTGCAATTACAATGATGTAAAATACTTTATATTTTGGTCCACTCGTTTTTGACAAATCGGCAAAAATAACAATTTTTTATATAATTTCAAAGAGTGCCTTGACTGACTGCAACAACATTAATTATTTACAAATTAAAGTAGAACGAAAACACTAAAAATGACGAGACACATTAAATTAAAAAAAAATGTGACCAACACATTTCCCATACATTCTAATTATATAATCTAGTAATGTTGCCGGATTGCCTCTTAACTGATTGATTGCCTCTGAAAACCTTTGCCGACATTATTACAAGGAGTTCTGTCCACGTGATTTTTTACGTGTCCCCAAAAGAAAAAATCCATTTAAGTTAAGTAGGGGCTGTTGACTGGCCAATTCATAGTTTCGCCGTTCCCTATCTGATCCCTGGTATATTGAATGTTAACTTGACCAACATTGTGAGGAGGGGCACCGTCTTACTGCCATATAATCAGCCCTTCTATATTTAAGGGTAAATCTGAAACATAGAGGACTAAGGGGACCGAAAGATAAACAATGTCAAAGGAGGATGCAGTTTTGTTTGGATTTTTTAAATGGCCATGGGTACCAATCAACTCATCTATGGTGTGGTGTCATATTTTGGGTTCAATATTATTTGCAACTCTTATATTTCAGTTCCCTTAGTCCTCTACGTTTCAGTTTTCTTTCCATATACTCCATACCTTGTCAGTAGCTTCCCCTTTTTTCTATAGATTTTGTTAATTCATTGCCTAGTTGCGTTTCCAATTCCCTCCAACGTTCATTCTTTCTATAGTTGTTGCCGTTGCATATGCTTGTTCTTTTCAGTGACATTTCTTATATATTGACTAATGCGATTCCCTTCGAATTTCTTCTCCTTTTTCCATCTTGTAAAACAACACTTCAATGATAATTTAAATAATGTCGTGTTCCAGAAGAACCGACCATCTTCCAAAAACTGGCCAACTGGACTATATTCCTATGGGCATTCGTCGAAAGCGGCATGGTCAGCCTGACGCGGATACTGAACGGATATTCGAGAGATTTTAGATTTGTGCTGCGAACGTTGGGTGTGGAACGCAGATCGCTGAAAGTAGCCACGGAACACGGAGATTTGGGAAAATGGATCGCTTATTTTCTTTTTGCAGGAAAACACCAGCTACGATGTGGGGATACGGAGCGGATCGAAGAGGTTATGGCAACCGGCCGGCTCCTTTCACGATCTCATTCGTTACACGACGTAAGTAGTAGCGTAAGACGAGTAGACATAAGACGTAAGGTGTAAGACGTTTAGGGTTTATTGCAGTATGATTATTAGTTATTATTAAAAACGGTGTATCATTCTAGTGGAAAAGGAAAGAATAGAATGACTATTTAAATACTTTTTTTTAAATAAAATTTAATTGAAAATATTGTTTTAAATATACAAAATTCTTAATTATTAAAACATTTTAAAATTAAGTGGGGATACCATAATATTAACTAATTGTACTAATTATCTTATAGGAAATTAGTTTTTTACAGTTTTAAATTAAACGGGAAGCTTCTCCTACTTTCAAAGTAAAAAAAAAAAAATTATTTAATTTGAATGATTGCAATGAATGAATCTTAAAAATTAAAATATTTTCGACTAAAGTGTCACCATAATATTAAACATTCTGTGAGAATTATTTTTTATTACAGAGTTAATTAAATGATTTGTTTTAAATTAAACGGGAAGCTTCAGCGAATTTTAAAGTTATACGTCAAAAGAAGGTGCTAACATATTTTTAAAACTTTAGTCTTCAATTACTGAAAAATAATTAAATGCATCCACCAAAGCTAAGGTTATAAATACATTTTATATTAAATAATATAAATTTTTATTTCTGGAAACTATATGTACATAATTATTAAAGTTAAGGCTAATAAAATCTAAGTATAGTTAATTTATTATAATTATAATTAATGGTCACTTAATCAATTTGAATAATTACAGTCAATTTATCTCATTAATGAAAGAATTTTTGAATTAGGTGGTTTTTCATAACGCTGATTAGTTTAGTAATTTAATTAAATGATTTGTTTTAAATTAAACGAAAAACTTCTGCACTTCTAAAGTTTTTTTTGTACTTTATGTGTTTAAAGAAGATGCGAATTAGCTTAACCTCAATTTCAGAAAAAATATCACATTAATGATAATATATAAATTACCAGTAAAATTAAACTTAATAAAGTTTAAGTATGACGAAATGAAATAAATAAATTGTTAATTTTTTTGGTTGACAGTAAATTGTAATTGTAAAAGTGTGGTTAGAAACAACTATCGCAAGCAAATGCATTGGAAATATTTAAAATTCGCCAATTTTTTTTTATTAAACTAACCAAAATTGGAACTATAAAATTAAACGTTCAAGTGATTTTATCAATATGCTAGGTTAGAAATACTCTTTTTTTATTTTATCCTTTAATTTCGCTTAGTTTACTTTACTTTAAACGGGGAACTCGAAAAAAAAAACACCAATTTTTCTCATTCGCTCCATTAAAAAAAAAAGAGTACATTGTGACAATTGCTTACGTAGGCGAAAGGAGAGTATACTTGATGTTCCGGAAATTCGTATTTTGGGCGCCAGTTTGGAAAGGGGCCTCGAGTCGCCATATTCTTTCAGGTAAAACCCGGGCGTGCAACACATGTGCTTTTTGTTATTGTTCCCCGACCCCTCACTCATCCCTTCCGATTCAAAACAACCCTATTCTAAATGTCAGGCGTTTCGGAAATGAAATGGGAAATTATCGAAAAAAAAGAAAACGTAAAAAGTAGATAAGCCACGCCGATTCTGTCTCAATTTTTCCTACCGTGAATGTTTTTTTTTTCACACACCATTTTAACAGATACTATTTGATAATATTCCTTTTTCTTTACGTGGGCTGTAAAAAGCTTTTCAGGATCGTTTCCTTTATCTTTTAAACGTTACGCGTCGCGGTTTATGCCTCCCACCACCATTATTCTAGGAAGTCCACAGCGACGGACGACGAGTACGAAGAAATGTCCTCCGACGGCCAACCCCCGACGGTCAAATTGATCCTGGCCGTTTGGTACGTGATCATGAGCCGATCCGAATGGCTGTGCTACTTCGCCGTGTTTCTCAACCAAGCCAAAAGGGCGACGCTGCTATCTCTGCCGCTGCCGCTGATGGTGTTCTTCTGGGGCTCGCTGACCATACCGAGGCCGTCGAAAACGTTCTGGGTGACGATCATCGCGTACACCGAGGTAGGCCCTCAGATAATTGTTGAAAATAACTTATGCAGAATGCACCTTGTGGTTTGCGGTTTCCGAGGTCGGGCAGAAAAATTATCCGACTTTCATTGAAGCACAAAATAATCTTGCATTGTGTCAATACCATTCTCATCGTTTGTGAGGTCGGGCAATACGACTTTTGGACTGTTATCGCTGTTCTACTGAAGGTAGTTCTGGTAATCGTGGTATGATGTAAATATACCATTATGTCTGGAGCTAGTACTAGAATATGTCTATACTAATAGTAACTGAATTGTGGGATGTCATTTTCCTGGTTTCTGAGATCATTCGATACTATTTTTTGACTATTATTGCAGTACGACTGATTAATAGTAATCTAGTAATCATCTTCCGTGAGGTGTAAATATACCATTATCTAACTCTTCTAGAAATAGTCCAGGAATATGTCTATGCTAACGGTAAATGAATTCTGAGGAGTTATTTGCCTGGTTTCTGTTGTCGACCTATACGATTTTTACACTGTTATTGCTGCTCTACTGAATGCTACTTCTAGTGCTCTTGGTACGATGCGTAAATTTACCATTATTTAACTATGACTGGAGATAGTTCTAGTTAATTCTAATATTAAATTGGTTATTTTCATGGTTTTTAAGGTCGTGCAACTGTGACTAAAGTCGTCGTCTTCAATTTTAGGTGATCGTTTTGATCAAGTGCCTTTTTCAAATGGACGTCATACCGTGGAACGAGGACATATACGGAAACAATCCATTTTTCGCCCCCAACATCATCGGCATTCAGAAGAGGAAAAGTTACGCCAACTGGGACCTGGTTTTGTTGTTGGCCGTGTTTTTCCATAGGTAACGTTAATGGTATGATTGTTTTTATCGGTGTTTCGACCGTCCACTTCTAGAATGATGCTCAAATCTATGGGCATCTGGAAGTCGTCCACGGACCCGCAACCTGCGGCCTTTATCGCGGAGAGTGATTACACGGATGGCGACTACAAGTACGAGGACGGACAATTGGTGCCCGCAGATTCGGTTATCGACGGGAATGTCCCGATCGGGAGCAGTTCGCCGGAAAATAGGTATTTTTAACACATTAACGAACGCACGCACAACTGTCGCTAAACTGCCAAAAACAAGACCCTTCTAAAAAATAATCGATTTTGTTGCCGTCAATCGATTTTTGTTTGTAGCGTTTTAATTTCTTTTTCTCTCTGTATGTTTTTTTTTTCTTTTTTTTTACTTTTAATCCATATAATTTCAGTGCTTTTACTACTTCACAATATTTTCGTATTTTTTTTGTTTTTAGTTTCTTTTTATCCATATTAATAACTTTTGCCTAGTTCGTCATTTAAAAAAATGCTTTTGTTACAACTGCTTGAAAAGAAGTTATAAAAAAAATCGAATTTCTCTTTGCAATTTTTACAATTTTATTATTCTCCCTGTATTTAAAAAAAAATTATTTGATATAATTTCGGTGGATCTACGCCGATTATTTTTTTTAATTCCAATTTTTGTATTAAGATTCGAACTTTTTTTTAAACGGTACATATTACTACCATTTTCAATTAGATAAATAACTTTTGCTAAAGGTGCAGAAAAAGCCCCACCTTTAAAAGTTTTCATTTAGAACGCCTAACGCTTTGATTTGCGTCGCTCTGTATATATTTTCGTTTTTTTTTTTTTATTTATTTAGATATAATTTTTGTCTTTAGGTTCTTGCTTTTTTTCTGTCTGTGTATATGTTTCCCTTTTTTGTATTTTTATGTTACTTATTATATTATTTTTACTCTTGGTTAGAATTTATTCGAAAAATATCTACTGATTTTCAGTAAAATCCTTTGGTTAGAATCTGTTAATAAAAATATCGTTACAAGTGAGTTTGTAATAAAATAAAATTTTATTCATTCTTTCATTTTTTTACTGGCAATTTTCTTCTCTTCTCTTTTTTTCTTTGTTACCGTCGCTATTTTTTCATAGAATTTTTTTTAAATAAATATTACCGTAAAACGTCAATTTTAAATGTTTTTTTTGTTTTTGTTAGTTTTTTTTATAATTGTTTTTCTCTTCTTTTTAGCGCCTCGATTTGTGTTCCTCTCTGTTTTTTTTTTTAATTATTAAATATAATTTCGATGCATTTATGTCTCCTGCGCAATAATTATTTCTTCCACTTTATTTTGTTTCCCTGTAGGTTCTATTTTTTAAACTTGTAATTCTTTAATGGAATGAAAAATATCAATTTTTTTTAATATGGATTAGGTTTTTCCTTGTAACTTTTCAATTCTATTTCATGTCTATCTATCTTTTGTTTTTTTTTTGGAATATTTATAACCAGTTTTTTTAAATATTTTTTTCTTTATTTTACTTCTTTTCTGTTTTTTCTTTGTTTAATAATAATATTAATGGACCAGCAAAATCGTCGAACCCAAATACGGTAAACAGAGAAGTCAAGCAGAGTCGGATCAGAACGTCTCGGTGGTCAGCGTCGAAGTGAATTTGTACGATCACATCCCCGAGTCGATAAAATTGGGGTAGGCGTCTTTTGTTTCCTTTGTTTTCGATCGCTATCGTCGTATTTTTTTAGAGCCGCCAAATATATCGAGTCGCTTCGGTATTTTTTCGCGCAGCTTCTCGATCCGACCGCCCGCGTCGCTGCCGACGTCTACTCTTTCATGTTTCTCTGCGATTTCATCAACTTTTTCGTCTTGCTGATCGGCTACTCTTCGTTCGGGGTGAGTTTTTACAAAAGAAAAAAATAACAGGGAAACTAAAATAAAAAAAAAACAAAATGATAATCAAATTCAAAATGAAAATATCGATGTAATTGAGTTTATAGTAAAATAACTTTTTTCCATTGTCTGCCAGATATTTTCATAATTACTTAATTTTTTATTCTACACGTTCAAATTTCTCTCCTGGCTTTTAGAATTTTTTTTCTTTAAAACGGCCCTTCAAGAGCTTTTGGTTAGAATTTATGAAAAGAAAAATCGACTTTCTAGTATAAATGAGCTTTTCTTTTTGATGATTCCATTTGTTTTTCTCTCGGTATATATTTTCGCTTTTTCAAAACATTGTTCCAATATAACATAATCATTTTTTCCACTGATTTTCAGTTAAAAGGCTATTTAAAAAATTTATAAAGTAACTGTTTTTTTTTTTTTTTTTCATTGCAATTTCAATGCCTCCCAGATATTTTTATAAGTTTTTTTTAGTTCATTTTTTTGCTACCAATTTGCAGGTAATCAAAATTTTCTTTTTATTCGAAGTTTTTTTGTTTTTCAATTAGGAAAATGTCAGGTTCTTTTGAAGTGTTTGTTTAATATTTATGAAAAAATAATTTTACCATTACTGAAGAAACAAAAAAAAATAATGATTTTGTTATATCGGCCGGAACAACTAGTTGGGTAATAAAATTTAAAATTGCGATGTGTATACTTAAACTCTATAATTTTGTACATATTTTTGATAAAATAATTTTTGTCCTCAAAACAACCCAAGAGACACTCCGAATTTGTCATAGAATAAAATTGTCCCAATATATATATTTTTATTTTTAAATACCTACGCGGAGTCATTAGGCATGATGAGGAAGCACAATGGGCATTGTGAGGCTTAGGCCCTGTAGTGTACAGGCTACTCTCCTCCTCCTCCTCCACAGTATCTATTCCCCATAATTTTTCGATAAGCCCTTGAGTTTCGGGTGTGCTATGTAGAACATATGATCGACTGCGAAGTATTAGTAAATAAATTTTAAAAAAATCGAGCATTCTGGAAAATTCTAGACCCAAGCTGCAAGCGACGGCGGCTTCAAGGCGTACCTCGAAGAGAACCGGGTACCGCCGATGTTCCTCTTCATGCTCATCCTGCAGTTCATGCTGATCATCATAGACCGGGGCATTTACCTGCGCAGGAACATCCTCGGCAAGCTCGTCTTCCAGTTCATACAGTCTATCCTGCTGCACATTTGGCTGTTCATCCTGTTTCCGATCATCACCGAGAAGTAAGGCGGGCGTGGTTTGTAATAGTGGCGATCACGTGACGTTAATTTCTGCGCCGTGGCAGGGAATTCAAGACAGTGATACCGCCGCAGGTGTACTACATCGTCAAGTGCATCTATTTCCTGCTGTCCGCTTACCAGATACGGTGCGGATATCCGTCGAGGATCCTGGGCAACTGTCTCTGCAAGGGCTACAGTATGGTCAACATGTTCCTGTTCAAGGGCTTCATGCTGGTGCCGTTCCTGTTCGAGCTGCGCAGCGTTATGGACTGGATGTGGACCGAGACCTCGATGGGCGTGTTTGACTGGTTGAAAATGGAGGATATATTCTCGCACATATTCCTGCTGAAGGTGAGCGATTTCGAATACAATTTACGGTCAGTGTGTTTTCGATTAGTCTTTACATTTTAAACCCCCCGTATCGTAGTAGGTCGATAAAAACCAAATCAAATTAAAATCCAGTAGCGTGCTCGCATTTCTTGCGCTTTTAAGATGGGAGCCACTTAATTGGCGATATTTTTGAATGAAACACCCTGTAAATATATTTTTAAATTGTATTGTTCAAATATATGGCGACATTTGCTTTTTTTCTATCTATATTTTATTGCTATTAATATTACTATTAATATTATTATTATTAATGTTATTATATATTGAAATAACACACACAAATAACGGAACTTATCGTACATTGGAACAAAACGCTATTTCTAAATATATGTAACAGTAGTAATAATTTTCCTAAAAAAATTATTATTATTATTATTATTATTATTATTTCACTAATACAATTAGTTTTCTATTATTGTTTTATAAGAAAAATTATTATTATTATTATTATTTTAATTAGAAAAATTGATAAATAACAAGGCATATCGTACATTTATTAATGGAAAATAATATTTTAATTTCGATTGTCTAAATGAATTTTTCAAAATAACATATTTGGTGACATTTACAAAAATTTACTTATTTTCAACATTTTTTATTTTTATTTTATTCGAGTTAATATTTTTATGTTATTATTGTCATTGTTATTATTATTATTATTATTATTATTATTATTATTATTATTATTATTATTATTATTATTATTATTATTATTATTATTATTATTGTTATTAATATCGGTATTATTTATTGGAAAATTACACAGTAATAATTGTTTCCCTTGTAGAATTATTACTATTGTTACACTAACACAATTTTTTTATTTAGTTTTTTACCAAAAAAAGTGATATTTTAAAAAATGTGCTTGTTTTCTATCTTAATATTATTCCAGTTATTATATTATTATTATTATTAATATTATTAATGTTGGTAATATTTTTATTTAATTTTAAAAGAACATACAAATATATTTTTATTTAACTTTACATTTTATTCCTTTTAATATTTTAACATTATTATTATCAATTGAAAATTCATAAATAACAAAGCTTATCGTATATTTTTTAATGGATTTCATACCATTAATTTATTGTAATTGTTTTATTAGAAAAAAATAAAATTTTGAAAAATATACTTGTTTTCTGTCTTAAGCTTATTCCAGTTTGTATATTATTATTAATATTATTATTATTATTATTATTATTATTATTATTATTTATATTATTTTAATTTGGAAAATCGATAACAAAAAAGACTTATCGTACATTTTTTAACGGAAAATAATATTTTAATTTGAATTGTCGAAATGAATTATTTAAAACAACATATATGTTGACGTTTACAAAAAAAAATCCTTTTTTTCTATCTAACTTTTATCCCATTTGACATTTTATTTTTACTCTCATTATTATTATGGTTATTATTTATTGGAATATTACATTAACAACTATTTATGGGTAAGTATACACAAGGTACATAAATATTACAGTGGTGATATTTTTTCCGATAAAATTATTATTATGATTATTATTATTATTATTAAACAATCATTTCACTAATAAAAATATTTTTTTCATTGCATTTATTTTATTTGTTATATTATTAAAAAATGTTTAATATTAATATTAATATTATTTTATTTTTAAGAAATGCATTACTTACTTGTTTTCTTCATTTTATCTTTTTTTATGCTTATTTTCTTTTTACTTTTTTATATTTTTTAAAACGTGCTTGTTTTTTAAGTTAATGTTTAATTAATTATTATTATTATTACTATTATTTTATAACAAAAAAATAATGAACCCCAAAAAACTCACGAGTAGGATAAAATGTGTTTATTAAAAAAAAAATAATTATTCAGACCATTTTGAATTTTTCAAAAACGGACAAAAAGCGCAAAAATATTTTCAGAAAATGGATATTTTAAAGTCATAACTTTGGCACCGTATCATAATGATTATATCTGAGCACGCCCCTGGATTTCATGTAACCAAACGTATAAGATTCCATTGGCGTCATACAGAACAACACAAACGGCCAGCTTTCCGTTTTCACCCTGTATCTCAAAACTAATTTTGCCTCGCTGTCTTGAACAATACCAAACGAAAAACGGACATCCTGTACATCTCGATTTCCTGGAGTTCCTTCCCGTAATTTGTCGATTCAAGTGCTCGAGGAACATGGAGGACGAGTACCCGCAACCCAGGGGCACCAAAAAGGGGTTCCTGGTCAAGTACGCTATGGGCGGGGCGCTCCTGATAGGCATCATCGGCATCATTTGGTTCCCGTTGGTGTTCTTTTCGCTGGGCAAGGCGGTCGGCGAAAGTAACCCCCCATATGATATCACATTGGAGTTGAGGATCGGACCTTACGACCCTGTGTACCAGATGTCAGCCCAAAGCAACGCTCTGTTTCAGTAAGTCCGTGTTCAAGTTTAATATTTTATCGTTTTTTTTTTTTTTTTTTTATCAAATACTTATATATATTTTTATTAATTTTTTTTTCGATAGATTTAGCGACGCCGATTATCAAAACCTCTTGCACGTATTCAAAGATTCGAAACGTTCCGAACAGATCTTCTCCAATTACGATCCGGGCGATATCGCTGCCGCCAAGTTCAGCCGGGATTCCGCGAAAATCTGGAGCATTTCGCCCCCGGACCGCGACAAGATGATCCAGGAAGTGAATTCGAGTGAGTAACTGCGTCGACGTGACGTCTTAACCCCGTCGTTTGACGTGGCGACGCGAAATCGACGTTCTCGCGACGTTACCGTCTCCTCCGAGGGGTTTTACCGTCGATAACCACAGTTAAATGAACAGATTGTTGAGGTGTTTGAATTTTTCGAGGACTTTTTGCTAACGCAAACATTTTTCCCAACTTTTTGTTTACATTATTTATTTATTTATTTATATATCGTGTAGCATCGCGACGACATAGCTGCAACGTCAAATCAAATGTTTCTTCTATCTAAAATACTTTTCCGATCTTCTCAAACATTATTTTAACTTGCCGCAATTCGTGAGAAGTCATCAATGCTCAAAAACGACGTTATTTGGACGTTATTCGTTGTAACGTCACGACGACGTAGTTTTAACGTAAAATTCGCGTCGATTGCGGCGAAAACGTTCAAAGTGCGATCCGGATTACGTTTTTACTGCGTCCTGACGACGTTATTGTTTCCTTCGACGGGTTTTACCCTTTAAGAAACAATAATTGTGCCCGAAACATTGGTACCCAAGGTAAAATAACAGATTGTTTATCGTTGTTTTTTTTTTCGTAAAATTTTCGAATTCTCCAACACGTCGCGAACTTTCTGATGGCGCTAAATACTTCTCCGATCCTCTTAAACCTTATTTTAACTCGTCAATCAACGTAATTGCGACGTTTTTTGTTGTGACATCGTTACAACGTCGAATTCCCGTCGAAAATGATCAAAGTGCGTTGATGCGATGTGTTTCTTTAAGCGGTTTCTACCCTTTTATGGTAATAAGGGAAACGGAAAACTTTAGAATTTTTGACCGTGTCGCTGATTTTTCGATGACGCAAAATATTTTAATCAGTGAACGTGAAACGTCGTCGATCCGCAGGATCGACGTAATTTCGACGCTAATCGTTGTAACGTCGCGACGACGTAGTTTTAACGTCAGAATCGCGTCGATTGCAGCGAAAACGATCAAGGTGCGGCTGGATTATCGCGTGTCGCACAAGACGAGCAGCTCCACCGACTCCGGGATCATATCGAACAACGTGGAGATCGAACTAGCCCCCGGCACGCCCACCGAGCCCAACCCTGACCGGGTGAACCTGCTGAGGATGTTGCGCAATGCGGCCGCCGAACCGATCAGCCTCGAACGTATCCTGCCGAAGTTCCTGAAAATCACCAACACCGGAGTGGCGGAGCCATACACCGGCATACTGGGCAGCTCGAATCCGGGTACGTTGCGGCGTTGACAAAGTTTTGCTGATCTATTTTCTTGTAATTTTTCGTAGATACCATGCAACGTAAACGATAAGTAGCTCAAAAATGTTCTAGCTGGTGCAACTGCTAATACTAGTTATGTTTTACGCCTCTGTTCGCTAGCTTTTCCCTTATTTAAAAAAAAAACATGCGTACTGAGAAAATGTGCAAATAAACTACTTGCTACGTGAACTTGTGAACCAAGTTATTACTTTTAACAGGCATATAAATTTTTTTCTGAAATTAAAATGGGGCAACACCTCGTGTTCCCAGAATACGTTGCTTGACGTTCGGTTCAGTTAATGTTGCCATATTGGTTTCCACAAAGACAAGCGCATGATACCTCTGATAATTTTTTTAATAACTCCTAAACGGACGGATGCGTGTCTGATAAATGCTACTCGTAAAAACGGCCCATTAAAATAAAAGACGCCGGCCATTTCTCAGGAAACGTTAGTTCTACAACTTAGAAAAAAAAATATTTATTTTCAACTTCATAAAATGAACTAATGTAAAATAATCCAAATTAACCTATATCATAGTTATAACGTAGTCCACTCTGTTTAAACTATTTTTTTATGTCTCGTCAAATTAAGGGTGTTGGAAAGGTAAAAGTTGAATAACTTTTTTTTTGGCTAATCCGTTTTCGACGAACTCAGTTCAGTTTTAAACAGTGTTTATGGGAGCTTCGACTGTCATGTCAATATCACGATATTAATCCTTTTACAAGTCAGTAGAAGGCGCTTCATGTCAAAAACAACTATTTTATGATTTTCTCGAAAATTTTAAATATAGTGGTATAAACATTTTCAGCTAAGATTAAAAAGAGTAAGAAAAACACAGAAAGTGGTTGAAACAACATGGCAATGTCTTTTGATCTTTGAGATGTGCTTATAGTTCCTACTAGAGTTCAATTTGATTTTGTCCTAATTGTTCCATGATAATCGCCAATAATTAATATAGTCAATGTAATTTATTCATACATTACATGTATGGTCAATATTGTCGAAAAGGGTAAAATAAATCTCAAAGGGGAAAAAGATATCACCATGCCGGTTCCACTACCTGCTGTGTTTTGTTACACTCTTTCGTCCTAGCTAAAAAATGTATGCCATTATATTTGGAATTTTCGAAAAAATTATAAAAACAGTTGTTTTTGACATAACATAAAAGAATTAATATCGTGACATTGACAGTATAGTCGAAAAATTAAACTGGATTAGCCAAAAAAAAGTTGTTCAACTGTTTCTTCACCAATATTTGACCCTTCCCCCACCCTTAATTTGACGAGATAGAAAAGAATAGTTAAAACGAAAAAGTTTCCTAATCTAGAATAGATTACGTAAAAACTAATTTTGGTTTGGTTTAATTTGGAATATTTTTGAAAAAAACCGTTTTTTCTATTTTATAGTAGAGGTTCTTTTAGAGGCCATTTTAGGAACCTGAAAATAATTTCCAGCTTTTTCTCTTGGCCGATTTACCTATAATTTTTTTTCCCTAGTTGTGGGACTTTAATGGACACCGTATGAATGTCCATTAGCGATTGTACAAAAGATTTAAGCTAAAATTAAAATAATTCTAAAAATAAACCTAAAATCTGCGATTTTACGGGCAGAAGTGGAGGCGTCACCGCAGGCCAACTTCCGCAACATAACTTTGATCCTGCTGCGGCCGAACAACACCCCCATAGTGGACAAGGAGTGGTGGCAGGTGAAGGAGGAGTGCAACGACACGGACTACAAGCATTACCTCAGGGATTTGGCGTATTCCGATTGCGATTCGCTGGTCATTTACACGCTGAACGACAAGATTTTCCCGCAGACCTTGAACATCATCACCGGCGGCGGGTGAGTCTGCTTTTGATAAAAAAAAAACATTTTGACGGCTTGTAGGGCAATGTTCCTTAAGGGGAACGTTCAATTCGACAACACTCTGTATAACGGCTAGCGTTTTGGCGAGATCGACGACGTCTTTCTAGTAGTTTATTGTATCAAAAAAATGTGTAAATACGAAAGTTGTTGTTATTATACAGGGTATGTCGTAAACACCTTAAATGTTTCCAGTATTTAATACCAATAAGAGTCTAAGATATTTTGAATGATTTAACAATTCTAAAACACGTAGTGGAACATTGCTTATTGTGCTTATTGACTTGTTTTTCAGAAATTATGTTTTGTGTCTCGAAAATTTCTGCTTGTTTTTCAGAAATTCTATTTTGTGTCTTGAAAATTTATGCTCGTTTTTTAGAAATTCTATTTTGTTTCTCAGAAGTTTTGGACTTGTTTCTCGGAAATTTAGACTTGTTTTTCATAAATTCCTACTTATTCCTGAAAAAATTTTGCCTAAGTAAACTAAAACCCTATATTTTTGGTAGCCTTTCATAATGACCAATGTAGAGAGCTACAATTTTCATACTTGTAGTATCATTCCGGGTGCAAGAGATTTGAAAAAGTATCATTGTGTAACGTTATCACTAGTACAATATTTGCCAATGTTTGCCATGACTTTGATGTTTGACGAGATGTGAAAAACACTTTATACAGGTACGATAAATTATCTTCATTTTACGTGTTTTTTTCTTATTTCTCAGAAATTTCTGCTTGTTTTTCAGAAACTCTGATTTGTTTCTCGGAAATGGCGACTTGTTTTTTAGAAATCCTGACTTGTTTCTAGGAAATTTTGACCTGCTTTTCACAAATTCCGACTTATTTCTGGAAAGTTTCGAGTTTTCAAAAATTCTTACTTGGTTCTCGGAAAATTCAATTTGTTTTTCAGTTATTCTGACTTGTTTCTCGCAAACTTGGACTTGTTTTTCGGAAATCCGGACTTGTTTCTTTCAAATGTCGACTCGTTTATCAGAATTTCTGACTTGTTTCTAGGATATTTTGTCCTCTTTTTCAAAAATTCCGACCTGTTTGTCGAAACTTTCGACTTTTCAAAAATGCGTACCTGGTTCTCGGAAATGTCGACTTGTTTTTCAGTTATTTTGACTTGTTGCTTTGAAATTTCGATTTGCTTTTCAGAAATTCCCACTTGCTTCTCAGAAATGTCTACTTGTTTTTCACCAATTCTGACTAGTTTCGAAAAAAAAATGCCTAAGTAAACTGAAACCATTCTTTAATTTTTTGTATCCTTTCGTAGTAAGTTGTATCGGAAGCTACAATGTTCGTGTTTGCAGATTTCATCTAGAATACAGGGTGAGCGAGATATTTAAAAAAATATGGTTGGAAATCGCTATTGATGGTACAATTTTTTATATTTGCCAATATACGACAAAACTATATTTTCGTATTAAAATCTCCGATAACTCTGTTTCAGAATTATCGGCCTATACACTACCTTGGTGCTGGTCGCCTCGCGTATACTTAGGGGCGTGTTCGCTGAGCAGGTGGCCAAGATCATGTTCGAAGACCTTCCCAACGTGGACCGTGTGCTCCAGCTCTGCCTGGACGTTTACCTGGTGCGGGAAGCAAGGGAGTTCGCCCTCGAGGAAGACCTCTTCGCCAAATTGATATTCCTGTTCCGGTCGCCAGAAACCATGATCAAATGGAGCAGACCGAAGGAGGAGCTGGAGGACGAGGACGATCCAGAAGCGAGTTAGGGGCAAAAAGGGGGGCGATTTCGACTTTAAAACCAGAAAAAAATACCGCTGACGCGGCGCAAGATGGCGGGAAACTGATCTGATGGAAAGTTTTCGAATTTTTACATATTTCACGGGATTAATGGGATCTGGTCTTGGGTTTATCTCCGACCGCGGGTATTTAAGTTCTAACGGCCAGTTTTTTTTAATGGTATCTTTGGTATACGCACAATTTTAGGAAGTAAAATTATTAACGCTTCGTACGTATTTTTTTTTTCTTATAAATCATATACGTAAATTTTATATTTTAATACGCGCGCCTTTATCGATTGTGTTTTTTCTTTTGTTTGAATGTTATGTTTTCGCGAAATAAACTTAAAACACCATTTTCTGGTAGTTTGATTTCGAGCTCGAGCTCGCCCAGGGTAAATAGGATATTTTGTTTGTCATAGTTCCAGCTCTCCCGACTTTTAGAATCTTGAAATTTTTGTTAAAAATATATGCGGAATGCACAAACGCAATTTATTTCCAATTTTTAGTTACCAGGATCGCTATTGAGCCTCTCGATTTATAGAAGTTGTCAAGAGGGAAACGCGGTGACGTCATTAAAGTGCCAACGTGGCGAATTCACCACAAGAAAACCTGATTGCATCCAGAAACGAACTTTTTTAATATTCTTGTAAAAAATAAACGTCAGAATCGACAGGGTTCTCATAAAATAAAGATAACCACTCAACCTTCCTTCAATTTTTTGAAGTTGTTGAAAGAACCTTAAGGCAATTGTAGCGTGCCCTGGAATTAAAACAAGCGCAAAACAAACATTTATAAATCCGGGTCGAAGGACCAACAAATGTTGCGGAAACTGCCGGAGCTCCTACAAAACTGAGTTTGTTAAGAGAAATACGATTTCAAATCCGGAGAAATTCAACTTTTTTGAGCGAAGCGTTCACTCAAAGTCGTACATTTGGAGAGCGTGCAATCGTAGGTAATGATAATCAAATCCACGTCATTTTTCTATGAAACGTGTGTGACTTAAGAGCCGCCACGGAGAATAAAATAAATCTGATTCCAGCTGGCACTGGGTTTAAAACTCTGGATCAATACTAGCATAATTTTTGAATTTATTAGGTGTGTGTAACTAGACGCGCGCGGCTGAGAGCTCATCGACACCGGCGCATCCGCCGTAAAATGGAATGAAACGCGCAGAGACCCGATATTAAAGAAAAATAGTTTTCTTCCAATAGAATTAGAAGCGTTTTTATTTTTTATCTTAAAAATGAAAACGGATACAACAATAAGATATTGCTAAAGTGTTGTTTTTCTTTAAGTGTCGGACGTCGCGCGGGGTCCCCGCGCACGCGCCGAAAATTAGAAATCGATAGCCGACGCTGCAGAAGCTCAACATCGGCCATGGATTTCAACGTGAAAAAGATCGTGAAAGACGCGGGCACGGCGCTCAGCAGGGTCGTCCAGGCACGTAACGAGTGATCCGCACCCGGGGCTCTTTTTGAATACCCGATTTCCGTATTGCAGCTGACCGAGGAGAAGCTGGGCAAGTGCGAGAAGACGGAGCTGGATCCGCACTTCGAGCGGCTCCTCGAAAGGGCGGAAAACACCAAGAAGCAGACGGAGAAGCTGGTGAGGAGCGCCGAGGCGGTCCTGGTGCCCAATCCAAGCAACAGGATTGAGGACTATATCTACGAGAAGATAGACAAGCAGAAACCGCCTCGGTTGAGCAATCTCGAGTACATGGGGCTCGATATGGTCGAAACCGGAACCGTTTTGGGTGCCGGCACCCCTTACGGTGCGACGCTGGTCAAGGTGGGACAGTGGGAACAGAAACTGGGACAAACCGAGCGGGAGTTCATCGGGATTGCAGGGATGTGCTTCACGCAACCCCTGAAAAGGTTCCTCGACACCGAAATGAGGACGATCGCCAGGGAACAGAGCACCCTCGAGATGAAAAGGTGAGGCTGGACACAAATTATTCCGTCTTTTGTCCTTTTCCATTTACAGCCAATAATTTACCCAGAGAAATGAAAATTAGCGGTTTTTTTTCAATTTTTGCCCGAAAACCACACACTGCGTATATAATTCACGTAGACACTATAGCCCTGGACCTCCTGTGTTTCCTGGTTCATGAATTTTTCCAATATCATAAACAGTTTTCGAGAAAATATTTTTTTTTCTGAAAGCACGCAGTACGCAGTGAATGGCGTCATCGCGTCTAGACACGACATTTTTCCAAAATTGTAGCTCTTGAAGACGTCTATAATACCGTTTGAACCAACTAGTCCCATTTTCGACGAATTTTGATTTACATCTAATAATTTACCCCCGAAAAGAACAATTTTCAGGGTCTAGATTTTCGTCCATAACTAATAGACCCCCAACAAACATAATTTTTTTTTTTAAATACTTTTTGAACTAACAAACTACTAGCTATATAAAAAATGGACGATACTGATTTCTAAAAATAACTTCATGCTCTACAAAAAAGGTCCCTTAACATTTTATTAAAAAGCGATTTTTTGAAAAAGTTATTCGCGATTTAAGTATTTTGAAGTAATTTAAAAAATAACAATTGCTTTGTTTCACTATTGAAAATTATTCATCTTTTAATAGATATTTATTTTCAGACGAATTCATACGTATTTATAGATTTCTTCTCTGGTCCCTCGATTTTATATAACAAAGTTATGATGTGAGACCTGCAAGTGGTGAACCGACAATTCTGTATGGTCTTAAGTCTTCCGATATTTTTAACTATCCCCGTATGTACCCTAATTCTAATTCCGGATATTGCTTTAGAGAAGTTAACATTTTAATTGAGTACAAAACTGCCAATCGTCTTAAATTTTCTGCATCAAGAGACTAGAACATTGTTAAAACAATTGCAAATGGTTGCTATCAAGGCAGACTTGACCATTTTTAAACAATATGGCTATTGTCCAGAAATCGAATGATAATTATATTCAAACTGAAATATCTTAAAAACGGCTAGATGAAGTGTCAATAAACTATATGTTTTTGAAATCAGGAAAAAAGATCTAAGATCTAAGATTTAAGATTCCATTTTTTAAAAATGATGTTATTGTCATTTTGACAGCTTGCGATCCTCGTTTGTTTCTTCTGACGTTTGCATAAAATAACACAGCAAAAATCTTCAAACTTTTGCATTTGCACTATTTTTTCTTTCAAAATTAACCGTGTAGGTGGATGTCAAAATATAATAAATAACCCAGTACGACTAAGCTTTCTTGAGAGATATTTTAGCGGAAAGTGAAGTGTTCAACCAAATTCGCCAGTGGTGAAGCAGCTCCAAATATAATTTCTTTAAAAAATTGACCGGTTTCCCTTTTTTTTAAGAAACTTCCACAGGCTCCTGCAATCCTATTCGCAAATCTTCTAGATTCCCCCTGCTGGAGCTAATTTCTATTAAAAAAATGTCTATTAAAAATGATCCAAATATTCAAATTCAAATTTTCGTTGGGTATGTCTTTGTTTCAATTGCTATCGACGTTACGGTTCGTTTCAGGCTAGACTTGGATGCTTGCAAAAACAGGGTGAGAAGGGCGAGGAGTATGCTGGGCCAATCGGTAAGTACCTTAGGCAGACTGGTCACGAGACCTAATCAGGGTGTTTTCAAGGGAGAAATACCGGCGGAATTCGCACTGGAGCAGGTGAGCGCAGGCGATGTTTGCTGTTTGCTGAGTTTCGGCAGGAAAAAATGTATTCGAATGACGAGGAAAAAACACAACAATGACGGAAAAATTTTATTTCAGGGAAAACCGTAATTAAACAATAACGTTTATTTTCGGAAAATCAATGCTACACGGTTTTAGTTAATTAATTTTACGCATAAAACAAGTGAAACTAATTTGCTGTTATACGAGGTGTGTTCAAAACGTAAGTTGACTTTTAAGTTTTGTAAAAGATTATTTATTTATTCAGCATTTTGAAGGAATCCCAACTTTTCGTGATAGTTTCCAAAATAAGATTTTAAATATCATGCCCGGTATCTCTTAAAGTCTTAAAAATAAAAATTATTTTTCACAATAAAACGGACATGAAATCTGAGTTGAAAGCGCATATCAGAAGAACTAACACTGCACGAAAATTTAGTTATAGTACTATAAACGTAACATCAGTACAAAGCTGGTCTAACTGTGAAAAAGGAGCAATAAAAGAAGAAAATATTTTTCGAGAACGATTAGTGGCGGAGTTGATCATTGAACTAGGTGATAGTGACGATTTTTTAAGTGACTGATACTTTATTATTATTATATTTAATATTTTGTATATTAATAATGAATCAGAACGTAAGAAATTGTTACTTTGCACTAATTTTTTTGTGTACATGTTTCAAGAATTGCTCTGCGTAAACGATTGAAAACATACTTATATCCCGCTTGTTAGTGTAGGTAGATAAATTCCGAGGACGGTCCTGGAATGGTTATGGGTAAGGGTAATTAATAGTTAACCGCGCTATCGGTTGTAAAAGCACTATATTTCTGGTCGAAGTATACTCATATTGCATCCCTAAGTTTCTCTCTATTTCCTGTTTCCTAGAAAACCGTGCCACCATAAAACATACAAAAATTCCTTCCTTTAATTTCACGTCTGAGAGAGCGGGAAATTTTCCACATAAGTATTTAAATCATGCTTTATTTGAAGCAAAAATTAATTCAAAAATATTGCGCGATGAAAACAAGAAATCGTTTTTCTATTAGTCCAGTCCATATAACACCGAAAGAATGAGAAATACAAAATCCCGGAACCTTTGTTGACCTGCGTGGTTCCGAATCACTTCTCAGTTTGGTTGAAAACCACCGTATCTATAAAGATTCGAATCATTTTAAGTTAAAAATATATAAAAAATTCTGCCAACGTTTTTTTTATCTATTTTATCCTTTCCGAAACAGTTAATTTCTTAGTTTCTTAGTTTCTGATGACGCGTCATCGGGCCCTGTTGCCGGATCGTGCAAAACTTCCTCGTTTCAGGCGGAACAAGACTTGAGAGTGGCCCAGTCCGAGTTCGACCGGCAGGTGGAGATAGTGAAGCTCCTGCTGGAAGGACTCGGCTCGTCGCAGGACGAACACCTGAAATGCCTGCACGACTTCGTCGAAACGCAGGCCAGATTTTACTCGCAGTGCGCGACTGTTGCAGCCCAGTTGAGAAGGGAACTGGACAAGTACGGATGGTTTTTTATCGAAAATTCGTCTGTAATTTCTAACCGCGTATTTTATTGACATATCACCATAGCAACGGACGAATTTTAGCGGACATTTTTTGTAAACACGCGTCGCTATGGAAACCTGTCAACAAAATCAACCGGCGTAGAATCTTCTTACTGAAGTCGCATTTTTTTCACCTCTAGTGATGTGACTAGCGATAATTTCTGAAATCCAAACCATAGTCATCGGATATCACTTTTTTCCGGTATATACGAGGCTTGTCGAAAACTATGAATTTTACTTTTAAATTTGACAATGTTGTTCAAAAAATTGGTCGAAACAACATACCGGAAATAATAATAATAATAATAATAGCTATATAATAGAGATAATATAGGGTGTTTTCTAATTGAATGTTCATTATTAAGGGGGCCATTATTGGATCCAATTTAAAAAGAATACTGCAACTTTTTTACTGCGTATATTTTCTAACTGTAATAAAAAATCGAAATTGAAAGTTAACAATTTGTTTATGACAAATTATTAATATAATAAACAACTAAATTGCTAATGGGAAAACAAGTTTGTTTGTTAATATGTAGAGAGGTACAGTTTCCGGAATTCGAACTGTTTTTAATAAATTTTCTCGTCTATAAGTAGCTTTTTTTCAAAAACCAAAATCCAAACAGTACTTTTTACCACCTTTAATTGTTTATAACTTTTGAAATTTTTAATGCACCAATCCACATAATTTTAATAATAGTATGCTCAATTAACGTGATTTTAAGCTCATTAACTAGGTTGAAGGTTCAATGCAACAAAGCGAATAGGAAAATTAACAGGATCTGTTTGAAAAAGCGAACATTTAGGAGTAAAAAAGGCCTTTGGTCAAATCAAATACGAATATAACCTTTGAAACCATAATAAGGTGCTGAAACGTGGGAAATGATAAAAAAAAGCGAAAACCATTTTTTTTGTTCGAAAGCTGTCAGAGTGGAATACAATTACAATATTTATTTCGTTAAGTATTCAGGTGAGAAGGACGATACTAAACTACCCCACTAAGTGTGGTGTGTTTTCTTTTCAGTTGCTGCAAATCCGGCCCTGTCCTGCGCCTGAACAGCGAAGAGTTGGAGTGTCTGAATTCCAACGCGCAGAACGATTCGTACAACAACGTCGACCTATCGAGAGTATAAATTTTAATAGCACTTCTTCCATTTACAGCTTCTCCTTTCTCACTCTAATTAGCTCGCCACTACGTTTCTGCGCGTAGGGTTGCCAAATATAGATGGATATATACTGCGGTCTGGGATATTTCCCTGTATATTTTGGCAGACATTGAGAGCATGCCACTGATTTCTCTTGAAATAAAAATTACTCTTGCAATCTCCAATCATTTCTAAAGAAATTTCATTCCTTGATTTTTTTCAATCCGATGTACTGTTTCCGCTTAAAAAAATAAAAACCGATATTGTTATGACCATGCAAAGAAGTTCTTGTTTTTTAATGTGAAAACCGTACATCGGATGGAAAAAAATCAAGAGATTAATTCTTTGGAAATGACTGGAGATTGTAAGGAGAATTTTTATTTTGAGAGAAATCAGTAGCGTACCATCAACATCTGCCAAAATACAGAGGTAAAATTCCATACGCCCGCCACTGGTGTATTTTTAAAAAAACGTGGTACACTAAATAATGCATCTTGATACATAGTAAATGTGTGTCAAATTTAATTCAAATATTTAAAGTGGTATTACAGACACTAAAAAAATATTTATTAATTTTTTTTTTAATTTTACATATTTGCATTTCAAAAGTTAAGACGTTTAGGACGCATGTTCATATGTTCAAAAATCGTAGAAAGCAGCCTCTATATCTGAAAGCAAACACTTAGAAAAGCTTTAAATAATTTTATGAGGAACTTTCTGCAAAATTCGAGAAAATATAACAATTTGTATTTTCAATTTTTCTCCGTAAAATAGGTCTAGGAATTGGTACATTTGGAGCATAAAACATGCTTTTAAATGAAGCCACGCAAAGGAAATTTCTTTTTTTATATATAAACGATCAAAATTGCACAAAAAATTCTCGTCATAAATATGTAAATAATAATATAATAATAATAATAATAAAATAAACTATTAAACATTTTAAACATTATTATTATTTTATTAATTGAATGAAATGCTTCTAAAACTAGCTGACGTAATACATCCTAATAATATTCAATCAATTATCTAATATGGCGCAGTAATCTCAAGATCATGTCTGACATATTTTGGGCTTTACGGACAACAACGGAAAATTCAATTTTTACGTTTTTTCGGACTTTGCAATGAAATTCTTAAACATTTTAATAATCTAACCGGCACTAAATATAAATCGGTAAGTTTGGCAACCCTGTCTTATGGTCGAGACTAGTGCTAGTGTTGCGTTACAAAATCGTAATATATCTAAAATACTCTTTAAGATCGACGGAAGTAATTTTAAATTTAAATCGGTCTATAGTCAATTACCATGTCGCATTTCATTTGACCGCAGCTGTACAGGGTGTTCAATTTAAAATGGACGTACGCCTCTGTTTATCTTTCCGAAATGAAGTCTACTGTCATGGACCGTTTGTTGTAATCTCCGTGTTGTTGAAATAAAAGCAATAAAGATATGTTTCACGTTGGGACGTATTTCATGTTCCCCTTTGCCCCCCTAACAATTAAAAAGAGAAAAGAGAATTTTTGTATTCAAAATTGAAGATCGGTCTTTAACCGAAAGAAATCTCTCAGACAGTCCCTGATTAACCATCACATATTTTTGCGCCTAGAAAAATATATTATTTAAATAAACCTCCATTTAATTAAAAAAAAACAATTTCGAGGAGAAAACGATTTTCGTTCGTTTCGCAACGGTGCAAACGCGGTTTCTAAAATTGTTAAAAATGGGCGCGGTCTCAATGCTCTATCTAGAACGGTTCACAAGTTATTAGTGTTTTTTCGAATGGTTACAGAAAACAGATTTCGTCGCGTCTAAACCGACCTTAACCAGTACACTCTGTCCCAAAATAGAGTGTCTCGACTTTAGAGCTTTTGAATAGAATGTTTTTTCGTAAAATACAGAGTGTTCGAAATGATATTAAGTGTCTTAAATTTGCAGCTATCGACTTCAGATTTGATGGTAAAATAGAAAGTATTATCTTTTTAATTTTTTTGGGCTATTTTGGTTTTGAGGCAAAAATTATATTCTTGAACCAGGAAATTAGGGAGATCCGGGGCCAATGCTTTCATTTCGAGCGTTTTTCGTACCTAAAACAAAAATTGACGTTTTTTCGTGGGTACATGAAAAATCGTAAATGGTGAGATAATTTGGAGTAAACGGTATCGTAAACCGCGTCAGGGGCTATAATTTTCATTTTTACAGTTTTCGTCTATTGTACGGGGTGCGCGAGAAATTTGAAAGAATATCTTTGGAAATCGCTATTACTGGTACTGGGCTATTCATTATATCTTGACATCCAAATGAAGGATGAATTTTGAAATATAGAAAAAAGTGTAGATACAAAAGTTTGAAGATTTTTCCTCGTTTATCTTATGCAAATGTCCGAAAAAACAAACGATGATCGGAAGGTGTCAAAGTGACAGCAACGTCATTTTTTTTAATGGAATGCACTCTATATTATTAGCTTAAACATATAGCTTATTGATATTTCATTAAGCCGTTTTTGAGATATTTCAGTTTAAAATTAATTATCATTTTTGACCGTCAGGTATAGAATATTATATAGTAGCGAGCTTATACAGGGTGCACTCGCACTACACAGGAGCATTACTTCGAGACACACTCTATACGGGACAATTCTAGTGACTTGTCGCGTGTCGCCGATTTAAGCAGCAAATTTTGCTTCAAAAAACGGCAATTACCTTTTTGCCATGTTAAACGCTCCTAAGTGGGGTCTAAGTGGATCCCGAAATCGTTATCGTTTCATAAACAAGACGACGAAATATCGAATTTCGATTCGATAATCGAACGTTTCTAATCTCCCGAACGTGTCGCGGACTGCATTATAAATATCCAACAAAGATATCTGGAGAATTTGAACTTTGAGTTAGCCTTTTAAAGGCGGATAAGATAAAGTAAAATAAAAACGATATCGGTGGTCGATTTTAGTCGATTCTAGTGGTGCATCTCGCAAAGGAAGGTGAGTTGGAGTATCGACGTCCATATTTACGTTTTTTTTTTCTATTTGATTCGACGTTGTAGATGCCAGCGCAGCCTTTTACCCTCGACCTGTCCCCTCCGGGGGAGGAAGCGATGCAGATCGCCAAAACGGAACTCCGGGAAACTCCGGAGAACGTGGCCCAAGGGTTGGCCGAACTCAGACAACTGTTGAGTCAAGACGACACCATCTACTACAAAGACGACGACAAAGTGCTGACGATGTACCTCAGACCGTGCAAATTTTACGCCAAGAGCGCCTACGAGCTCGTGAGTCGCCATTTTTAATTCCCTTATCTGTGTTTTAAAAAAAAATGTGATTTGATTTCGAGTGCACCCACTCCGAAAACAAAACAATATTTTTTTGGTTCCGCATATTCTTATCGCCGCGATGCGACTCGTTTAGAAGTCACCATACTTAAAATGCGTACTTTGCCTAACATCCCTTTCTTGCCTTCAGGATAAGCTGGTAATAAAAGTCTTGATTTTTTGGCTTTAGTTACCGTGCTTTCAATTTATCTTGATAACATTTTAATTGGCTTTTTTGTTTTTGGAGGTGTTAATGTAAACAAAAAAACAAAATATAGAGTTATTGGCCAAGTTATTTTACAAGTGACGTATAAATCAAAACACTATTAATTTACTGACATATAAGAATACATCATATATTTTTAAATGGAATACCCTGTATATTATATATGTGTTTAACAGAATATCTTTTTCTTTATATGTTAGTGCACTCGTTTTTGACAAAGAAATTTGCAGAAAACGTATTAAATGCTAAAAGTGTATACGGGAATCATAATGTTTTAAACGGAGAAAATAAGGCATGCATGGATTATATGAAGCACATATAAAGAGACAGGTATTTCTAGGTGATCAACTCACTCAGTTTTGAGAGAATATAAAAATAATGCATTTAAATTTCGTAAAACTCAAAGACTAAGAGCAAAACAATGTCAAAGGAGGATGCAGCTTTGTTTGGATTTTTTAAATATACATAATGAGAATAATAATTTTTTGAAAAACATTTTATGGAGTGATAAAAGTCAATCAATCAATTAATGTATGTTGTGGCATCATAGATGAGTATATTTGAGGTCCGATATGTACAGATCAAAAGTTAAACGGAGATCAATATTTGCAACTTTTAGAGCACCAAATAGAACAATATTTACCCCAAATAGAGCAATATAGGATAGGGAACGGCGGAACCATGCATTGGCCAGCCACATATTTAGAAAGTTATAGAATTTTTTACTTTAGTGTGTCTTTTGTTCTACTTTAATTTGTAAATAATTACTGTTGTTTTGGTTTTGTTAAAAACGAGTGGACCAAAATATAAAGTGTGTTACATCATTGTAGTCTAAAATATTTTATTAAACACATATATAATATAGAGAATGTACTAGGTACCGTATTCTGAATATCTTTTTTTAACTTCTTAAAGCAGTCAATAGTTGCATTTTGCTTAAAAATATTTACTCTGCGGCAAGGAGCTCCTTCAAAATAATTATTTTGTACTTCCACCTGCACCTGGCATCTAATCTAAGACCAAAGTATTAACGATTTTTTCGGAGTGTTCAATTGGTTTGTTAGAAAGTGAAAAATACAGTAATCCATTTAGGCCTTTTTTAAATAACTGCTTCATTTTGTTTATTTTATATGGACAATACTTGTATTTAAGTATAAACAATAATGACCTAAACAAATCGGAACCATACGGAAATCTTTTTTTTCTATTTACTAATATGAGAGGTTCGTTATAAGATATCCCTTAAATTTGACAATAACTGATAAATGTTTCTTTTTTCTGTTGTCAAATTCATATGTTCTAAATGTCGACATTTTGAACTGGCCTTTTCTATAGCAATAGTCCCGTGGGAAGTAATCAAGGGTGGCGAGGTCAGGGGAACTGGCAGGCCGAAAATGCTCTGAATATCTGCGGATGACGCACGTTCAATTTATTCGATGTACATGACGTCCCAAATAAGGTTCCCTTATATGAAAATTTTTGAACCATCTCTTTTCGCAACTGACATTGACTGATTCAGAATTGCTGTATTCCTATTTTAGATTATGTTTTTGTTCAAGGATATAATTACTCCCTTGGTGTTTTGCAGTTTTGAGTATGTAATGTAATGTGACGTAAAGGAACTTTTTGATAATGTAGGTAGACGGGAAAAGGGGCAAACTCGTCGTACCGGCTATAGCTGATATAAAAAAGTGACGTTGCTTTATTTCCCAGATGAAAAGGATCGCAGAATTCAAGAAAAAGTACGCTGATATTTTGGACAACCTCCTACCGGCCGACGAAAAAGTGGCCTTCACCCAGCGCAAGGTGGTGAACGTCCTCAAAGACCGCGATCACAAGGGCAGACGCGTCCTCATAGTTAATTGCGGAGGTAAACCTCTCGAAAAAGCTAGCCCAGCTTTACTAGCACTAAACAGCTCCCGTATTATTTTGAGGTTGGAACGGCACCTTCCTAGGTCAAGGCTTGCCCTACCACAACCATTAAACGCCTTCAAGTCCATCAAGACGTTTGGTGACGAACCGGGTGTAACTTTTGAATGGTTTCAGCTATCTGGGATCCTTCGTTGGTCACCACCGATCAGATATTCCGAATGTTTTACTTAATCCACGAAGCCGCCCTCCTGGAAGAGGAAACCCAGATCCGGGGTGTCGTGGTGATCATGGACTACGACGGTCTGTCGATGAAACAGGTGAAAGCCCTCGGCGTGTCCTTCAGCATGAAACTGCTCGGGTTCATTCAGGACGCGATGCCGCTGAGACTGAAAGAAGTCCACATGGTGAAGGAGCCGTTCGTTTTCAACATGGTGTGGCAGATATTCAAGCCGTTCATAAGAGAAAAGCTAAAGAAAAGGGTGAGCACGTTACCTTTTTTTTCTCAATTGTTTCTTTTATTTTTTTCACGTATCTTGGTGATTTTGCAATTGAAAAAAATTACCACTTACTCTTTTGGAACATAATAATTTTGAACGAGAAACGGTTAAATAACGAAAATACCAAAAACGTTAGCAAATATGAGACCTAATTCTGAGTCCTCATTTCGTTTACTGATATTATAGGTTAGGAAAAAAAAGAAATGCAATTTTTGTAATATTCATTACTTTTCAAATTAAAAATTAAAATAACACATCATGACTTCTTAGCCGTACCCAGCAACATAAAAAGTAATCTCCTACCTATGGGCATTCATTGGTAACGACTTACCACAGAATATCACTTATACAATGCACTCATGGTACAAATAACATTCGATTATAATACAATTTTCACTAGTGTGAAGTTATAGAAAATAGGATTCGAAACACGTATAAGCAAATATGCGAAACATACTAAACACGTGTATTCAAGTCGAAAATCAGCAGCAGGGTGTTTTCTAATTGTAAAGAAACCTTCATAATAATGTATGTCCAAAAGTTTTCAAACATAAAATATAAAATAAAACCTGGCACATATGGACTATGTCAAGCATTATACCACAATTTTTTTAAAACGCACCAGTAAGAATTTCACTTGTCTATTTTGGCAGCCATTGATGGTACGCCACTGCTTTCTCTTAAAATGAAAATTATTATTACAATCTCCAATTATTGCTAAAGAAATTTAATTCCTTGATTTTTTTTTACATTAAAAAATAAAATCCTCTTCTCTGCATAGTCATAACAATATCATTATTTTTTTAATTTCCACATTAACCATATTTTTGCCAATGAAAACTCTCATGCAGGCGTAGAATTTAAACAACAGACAATTTTGTTAAAAAGTATTAATAGTTGGTAGTGTTAATAACAGTAGTTTATTACTTACCATGTTGTTAGGATCTTATGTCATTTCATTAAAACTGTAAAAGTAAAACAAGTCTCTTATTTTTCACAAGAAAAATGTTCTCTCTTAAACCTGCGCAGTAGCGACCACACAGTAGATGTTTCATTGGTATTATAGACATTAAATAATATACTTTATTTTTAAAACTTTACTTTCTTTGAAAAAACACCCTGTATATGAAAGTAAGACAGATGAATTTAAAATTGGCTAATAGTTTTTTCATAAACAACCAATATAATAGCAATAGTCATAGAAAGAGGGAAGGGTAAACAATGGAAAACTTGGTATATGACGTACTAAACAAATATTGTGGGTTTTTGTAAGATTTTTCGGAAAAAAACGGGAATATATAAGGTGTGCTATGTAAGAAAAACTTTTTAGAAAAATTAAAATATTGGAAAAACTATTAGTTGTCCCGTTTAAAAAAACGCAACTTTTTAAGCCAACGAGATAATCATATCATCAATCATAACAAATACACAACACACAAACACTTCAACACGTTTTACTAGAAATTAATTGGAACACTAGTTTTTCGAAGAATAAACGATCGACGAGAAAGTTTTTATTACATTTGATTTATTTATTTATTTACAACTTTTTTTTGCTAAAAATTTTATATGTCATGATTTTCTTGTTCCTTGCAGATGCCTCAGTTAGCGTAAGGATAAAAAGACAAATATGGGTTTAGCTTTAGGTTCACGTTGCTGTCGTTTTCAGATATTCTTCCACGGTTCGAAAATGAACTCTCTGCACAAGTACATCCCCCCCACCCACCTGCCTAAGGAATATGGCGGGCAGTTACCGGCTATCGATTACAGCGGCGACGATTGGTACCCTTGCATCGAAAGCCACGTCGAACATATCAAAATGCTCAACTCCTTCGGCTTCCGCAAGAAGTGACCTACCAGCGTGTTTTTTTTTTAATATAGATTAAGAAAAGTTAGGTTAATTTTCGAAGCGCGCCTGATACCGTCGGTTTGAGCGAATAAAGTGGATTTACATATGCCACATGACCTTTTTATTTCAAACGCCCATTGTATTTCGACGCCTGGGGTCACGGCGTACCATCCGATCGGCCAGGGACTTCGTCCGACTCGGTAGTCGTTCAAAGCTTTCGACGATGGTCGAGCTTGTCTATTTGGTAAGTCCTTGAAAAAAAATTAAATGCGTCGATGTGAATTTTTTACACCACTCGATAGTCAAACAAAAGCCCGAAATCCGCGCCTCAATATCGTAATCCTAACCTAAAACATCGATTTCCTAAATCCTTGATGAGGTATGATCTGTTTCAAAGTATAGCGTCTACACTTTTGACCGCATTAGCAGGAATAAAAGAGTAGGACAATAATTGTCTGTCTTTATTTAATTTAAAACTCGCTATTTGCAAAATTTTCTTATATTAATGATGCTTAGAGCGAACAATGGGACACATTTCGAATCTTTTTTGTTGGATATGATTTTTTTTTGCATTATTAGATAGCCAAACAAAAGCCGAATAACCCAGTGAAAATCGCGTCTCAATATCGTTTATGAGGTATAGTGTGTCTCAAACGGTAGCGTCTTCATTTTGACCCCATTAGCACGAATAGAAAGTTTTTTTTACATAATTATAAATAATGATAATGACAATAATTAACCGTCTTTATTAGCGATCATGATATTTCAATTAACGTTGTATACGCCACCAAAACTCGTTTTTTTGCAAAATGTTCTTATATTGAATTCTGGTTGGATGCTTTTTGATCTGCGTCTAAGCAGCAGACGGCGTTTTCCGACATAATGCCTAATAATTTTCTGAAAAAAAAAATTAAATGCGACGCCGTGATTTTTTTTTAAATTTTTATTAGTCAAACAAAAGAGTAATAACCCAGTGAAAACCGCGTCTCCATATCGTTATCCTAACCTAAAATATTGATTTCGTAAGTCGTTGCTCAGGTATGGTGTGTCTCATACTATAGAGTCTCCAATTTTGACCGCATTAGCACGAATTAAAGAGTAGGAAGTTTTTTTCCAAAATAATGATAATGACAATAATTAACTGCCTTTATTAAAGAATCAAGATATTTCAAACAGTAAACACAGTAAATTCAAGCTCCGAAAAAAAAACGTTTCTTGGGTCATCGACGTTTCTCGCGTTCTCATTGCTTATAATAGAGGCGTTTTTTTACGTAATTAAAAATAATTATAACAACAATAACAAACGACCAAGACATTACAATGTGAGTATACGCCGAGAGAGGGCGCAATTGAATTTTAAAACCCGTCTTTTGCAATTTTTTTTATATTGCATAAAACTACAATTATAGCGGATCATTAAGAAATATGTGGTTTCTATATGGACGAGTCAGTAAGGCGTTACATACAACCATACAACCAGCAAGTATACGGGGTGTCCCAAACTATAACAGCTCATTATGTACCAAAAAAGTCCTAATTTCCGTTTGTCCAAATGAAGGAAAACCGGACAAAATTCGATATTTATAATTTCGGGATCAGATTCAGCACATCGAATTTACGAAACGACGAAAATTTCTGTTTTTCTCTAGATCCGTTTCGGAAATAACGACAAAAATCCGTATTCGGGTTCAGTCTTTGCGTGTGGCTCCGTTAGATCGCGCTGATCGCACTGCGATCGTGTAGAAAACCGGGGCTTACTTTGGACGTTAAGATCCCACCATGAGCAGCAAAGAAAAATAAAGAACTTAAACACACGTCATCTCGAGAGCGCTCTCATTGTTGGCCGCGAACTCAATCGGTGAAATTTAATTTCTATTCGAGTGCATCGCAGGCGGCCGCGCGGAGTTACAAGCGAAGGTAAAAAAATGCGCTTTTATTGTGTGCACGCAAACGGGTATATTCTGCGGTCATATCAGTAATTTAAGTTAAGTTGACGGCACGGCATTGTTTACGCATTTTCAACGGTTCCGGACGCTGTTGCCAAGCATCGCAGCGGTTTCGAAGGATTAATAAACGGGGATAAAATTAGATATTTTAGTAAGAAATGGACGTGACAACGTCGCAAAATACAAATGCTAGCCCGCGTTGGCTTGCTTAAGTTTCGTTTTACATCCAAGATCGCTTTGTTTTTGTGAGGATGGTGAGTTTGTGAGGGTGAAAAACTGTTTTAAGATAATAATATCGTAGAGACTGACCGTGAAAATGCCGCAACGGTGTGAAGCGTGCAAGAAATTTGATGAAGTTATCCGACCAACCGTAGAATATCAATCGGTATAGTTGGTTGGGGTTTGACAAAGTGGAAGAAGAGGAAGAGACGTTGACAGGTACGAGTTGCTTTCTGTTTTGTTTGTGTAATGTTTTTGTTTAAAGGTTATTCCCGAATACTGTTATTATTGCATAGTATTACCTATTGTTGTAGATTTCCAAGAAACGCTGAAACGGCAAAGCGGAGTGCGGAAATTGCAGAAAAACAAAAGCAGCAATTTGGATTGATTTTGACAAAGTTTGCCAAAGTTAGTCGACGGACTTGGGGCCCCTAGCCCAGAGTATGTAAACGAACAGACACGTGTCTTCGTAAGCTAAGTGCATTTATTGTTGTAGATTTTCATGAAACGCTGACGTCAGGTGCGGCGAAGACAATTTGAAACAACCGCTTCCAATGCGAGCGAACTAGATTTTTAAAACGAGATGTTTTTCCAAGAATATTTCACCTTGAAGTTTTCAGGCGACAAAAATCGAGGTGTAGTTTCTTTTTTGGTTCTTTTATAGGTTCTACCTTGAATAGATTCCACTGTTCCTCCTTTAAATAAAACAGATATTAGGAAGCAAAATTTGATTTTTTTTTTCATTCTCAAGGGAAATTAGAAAAAACAAAAGTTTTGACAGTCCAATTAGTTTAATTAATGTGGAAATTTCGTTGTGCAGTTTTGAAAAAAAACAAAAGATGGTCTTGTCGGTTGAAGTCAACGCCGACGGGACGCCGTTCGTCGCGATTGGACAGTATCAGTTCCGCTTGGAAGTGGAGGAACTTTACGGCGAATACAAGAAAATGGCGGAAAATGAACTGCAGGAGACCCCGCAACGCGTCAGCGACGGACTAAACAGGCTGAGAGATCTCATCAAAGGTACCTTTTCGAAACTGCTTTGGCATGACGTCGTCGCGATGTCAATACGACCCTCGAACGATCATTAGACAGTTTGTTAAGTGATTAGGACGCCGATTAAATATCATTTATATGCCACGATACCAGAAACGGAAATTTTTTTTAGTTCTAATCCTAGAGAAATGAATATGGCTTTGATATAATGTCACTTTGACGTCTAATAAGCGATTCAATGCCCTTCATCGGAGATAGATGAAAATTTCCGTAATTAAAACATTATTTTGACATCAAAGGTTAGTCTTGGTGTGATTTTCGTTGAAGCAAGTAACGTAAAGGTTTGTAGTGATTAAGACGTCAATATAACGTCGTCCTGACGTCGAATAAGCGTGTTTTAGCGGAGGACGTTATAAATGTACATATTTAAAACGTTATTTCGACGTTGAATGCGAGTGTTGGTGTGTTTTCGCCGAACCAAGTGACGTAAAAGTTTGATGCGATTAAGATGTAAATATACGGTCGCCCTAACCTCGAATAAGCGTGTTTTAGCGGAGGACATTTTAAATTTACGCAACTAAAACGTTATTTTGACGTCAAATGCTAACCAAGTGATATAAAAGTTTGAAACGATTGAGACTTCCATATAACGTCGTTCTGACGTCGAATAAGCGTATTTTAAACGAGAACGTTCTAAATTTACGTAATTTAAACGTGTGCGATGTGTTTTTCGTAGAACATAGTGACGTTAAGGTTTGATCGGTCGGCCAAGCGATTAAGACGTCTATATAACGTCGTCCTGACGTCGAATAAGCGTGTGTTCGCGGAAGATGTTTCAAATTTACGTAATTGAAACGTTATTTTCACGTTGATGTGTTTTTCTGCTAACCATGTGACGTAAAGGTCTGAAGCGATTAAGATGTCATTATAACGTCGTCCTGACGTCGATTAAGCCTGTTTTCGCGGAGGACATTCTAAATTTACGAAACTAAAACGTTATTTTGACGTTAAATGCGAGGCTTCATGTGTTTTTCGTCGAACCAAGTGACGTAAAGGTATGAAACTATTGGGACGTCTACATAACGTTATCTTGACATGAAATAAGGGTTTCGGCGTGTTTCAGCGGAAGACGATCTGTATTTACCGGTGGACGACGACCGATTTCTCATCAAATTCCTACGCCCGTTCAGGTTCAATCCGGAACACGGCTTCAAGGTCATGCGGCGCTTCTACCTCTTCAAAACGAAGTATCCCAAGTACGGAGGTAACGGCGTGACGCCACACGCCGTACGGCACGTGTTCGACAACGAGGTGTTCGTGTTCCTACCTACCAGGAGTAAGACGGGCGGGAGGATCATGATCATTAACTGCGGCAGTAAGTAGACTCAGTCCCGGCTTCTGTTGTCCGTCTCCGTGTCGCGAGTAGGTCAATTTCTTTCGCGTTTCCAGAGAAATGGGACCCGAAGTTGGTGAAGCTGGAGGACATGTTCAGGTCGATCATGGTGGCCATAGAAATCGCGATGCTAGAGCCGAAAACGCAAGTGGGTGGAGTGAACGTGATCCTGAACATGGAGGGGCTCGGTTTGCACCACGTTTACCAGTTTTCCCCGTCGATGGCGAAACTAATTATCGATTGGGTTCAGGTGAGCAAATTTTTTTCGAATTTCTACATTTTAATTCCCAATCGCATTTTTCAATTTCACAATCCAGAACGGCTACCATCGTTTTGGAAGTCTTTTTGAAATTAAATTATGGAGATTGTTGCTTTTTATTCTGAATTTCAAAATCCAGGATGGCTTCGATAGTTACTGATGTCTGTGAAATAATCGATAATTTATCGAGATTGACGCTTTTAGCTCTCAATTTCATAACCTAGATTCGCCACGATCGTTCCGAAAATCTTTTTTTTTTCAAATTATCGATATTTTATCGACGGTGTCGCTTCTCGTTCCCAATTTCAAACTCCAGAACAGCTACGTATGTCTTTTTGAACATATCGATATTTTGTCGATAATTTATCGAGTTTGTCCCATTTGGTTCTTAGTTTCAAATCCAAGAACGGCTACCATCATTTCGGATGTATTTTTGAAATTATCGATGTTTTGTCAATAATTTATCGAGATTGTCGCTTTTTGTTCTCAGTTTCAATGCCGAGAACGGTTACACTCATTTCGCATGTCTTTTTGAAATTATTGATATTTAGACGATGTTTTATCGAAACTGTCGCCTTTTGTTCTCAATTTCAAAACTTAGAACAGCTACGATCGTTTCGGAGGTCTTTGAAATTATCGATAATTTGTGGACAATTTATCGAGATTGTCGCTTTTGGTTCTTAATTTCAAAACCCAGAACGGTTACGAAAAATTATCAAATTTTGAATAATCTTCTTGGGTTGTTTATTTTTTTCACATCACGTAAATGTGTTTTTAGCGATGTTATAAGTGGAAATTTAGTCATCTAACAAAAATAGTTTTCGGGACATTTCGAGTGTGTCGCTATCGCTGTATCAATATCGCTTAAAAAAAGGACGACATTGAAAATTTTCCACTTACGCGAAATATTAATAATAATGGGCTACTTAAATGTCATTAATCACTAAAAGTGGCAAATATGTAGTATATAATAATTTGAAAATTTAATTAAAGGTTGTAATCTAAAATAGTCATATAACTTCTATAATATTTATATCAAAAATTTTGTGTTCTATAACCATGTGTCTTTATTTGGTGTTGTCAAAATAAAATTATTCATTTCAGTCGCGTCCCACTTATAAAAAAAATCGAGAAGTCAAATCTGGTCATTCTTCAGGAAAACAACAATTTTAGCAAATAGTACGCAACTGATTTTTTGAAGATTTTATAATTTTTTTAGATCAAAGCATGAAAAGTGAAACTTTTTCTCAATTTTTTTTTTTTTTCAAAGAAGTGAATGGCGTGCCATGATTTTTACTTATAAATATCAATGAGCCTTTCCTTTTCTTTTTTTCTTAAAAGGTATTAAAAAAGTGACCAATTAAACCTGAATATTCCCTCTCTTTCACTTCGCCATCTTTTTTCCAGGAATGTGCCCCGGTGAGACTGCGTGGCCTGCACGTCGTGAATCAACCGTTCGTGTTCAACGTTTTATTCGCGATCTTCAAGCCGTTCCTCGGCGAATACATAAAAAAAAGGGTAAGGCGGTTTTTGCGCACCGAGACGATTCTCCGCGACTGCTCCATTTTGCAGCTTTCGTTCCACGGTTCCGACCGACCGTCGCTGGCCGAGAAAATTGGACGCGAAGGGTTACCGGAAAAGTACGGGGGGACCGCCGACATCCCGGATTATCCGGGCAGCTTATTTTCCGACATGCTGTTTTACTACGAAGAAGAATTTCGAGGTACGTTTTTAAGAAACAACACCCTGCGTATAACGTTCAACATTGGGACGTTAATAATTTATCGCTTTTCGTTGTCAATTTCAAAACCAAGGGATCTTTTCAGATGTCATTTTAAAATTGTCGATATTTTATCGAGATTACTTTTCTTTCTCAATTTTAAAACCTAGAACGGCTCCGATTGTTTCGAAAGTTTTTTTTGAAATTATCGATCATTTTTCGTTCATAATTTGAAAACCAAGAACAGCTACGCTTGTTTCGGAGGTCTTTTTTAAATTATCGATATTTTATCGTTTTTAGCAGAACAAAATATCAATTCCGCCTGTGGATGGAGTCCACATTTATTATATGACGTCATTTCAATAACAATGTGTATACGGAATTTTTATTGGTTATGTTTAGTACACAACACTTACGGCTACGGTACAACGACGACGGCGCGTCCGATCTACACCTACGAGGACGATCCGAAAGAAAACGAACTCGAAAGTGGGGAGGAGGGCGAGAAAATAAAAACCCGCGCGTGGTAAAAATATTTTATTGTACAATAAAAAAAATATATCAAATGGTGATGCAGTTTCGATCACGATAAGTACACGACAATAGTCTCGACGCTTACACCGAATAAATAACAAAAACAATAATCCCAAATAAAACGAAAAAAAAAAACCGAAAACAATAGAAACAAGAGACGAGAAATACTACGCGGGTCACTTGGCGGCTCCCTTCTTGGCGTACCCGTACTGGCTGATGGCTGAAACGAAAAGGATAGGAACGTTTTTTTCTCTTTTTTTTTCAAAAAAACTTCCATTTTGTGAACCATGAACTGGACCCAGAATAATTTCCACATCAGAGATTATTATTATTGTGTGTATTATTATTATTAACGCCGCCCCCCTCAAACTCTGTATAAGCAGGTGCCGAGAAGAATGAGACATAAGACTTTTTTCGCATTTCTACCTTTGAATTCCCGATCGCATTTTTCAATTTCAAAACCCAGAACGGCTACCATCGTTTTGGAAGTCTTTTTGAAATTAAATTATGGAGATTGTTGCTTTTTATTCTGAATTTCAAGACCCAGAACGGCTACGATAGTTGCTGATGTCTTTGAAATAATCGATAATTTATCGAGATTGACGCTTTTAGCTCTCAATTTCATAACCTAGATTCGCTACGATCGTGTCGAAAATCTTTTTGAAATTATCGATAGTTTATCGAAATTGTCGCTTTTCCTTCTCAGTTTCAAGCCTCAGACCGGCTATGATCGTTTCTGATGTCTTTGTAAAATTGTCGATATTTTATCGATAATTGCTCGAAATTGTCGCTGTTCGTACTCAATTTCAAGCCCTTTTTTAATGAAAAAATGGCCAGAGGTAGAGTAGAACGCGAGCCACTTTCAATCAAGCAACGAAGAAGCCGACAAAATGAGACTCGCGAGACGTCAGCCAGATTTATAAAGATTATTAGTTGAAAGATTCTTTGAAAAACTAAGCTGTTGAAATATTTCAAATTTTCGACCTTGTCGCATTTACTTCTCAATTTCAAGCCTTTTATTTGCAAAAATGGCCAGAGGTACAGAGTAGAGTGCGAGCCAGTTTCCGTCAAGCAACGAAGGAGATTTTTAAACAGTATTACAGTGGAAGATTCTTTGAAAGTTTAAGCAACGGAAATATTTCCAATTACCTTTGAATTCCTGATCGCATTTCTCCAACAACTCGAGCCACTGGGCGCCGTCTATCCTCGGGAGGTCGAGGGTGCCCCCGTAACACTGAGGCAGGCACTTGGGGTCCATGTGCTGATGGAGGCTCTTGCGGTCCGTGCCGTGAAAAATGATGCGACTGCGCAGCTTCTCGCGCAGGAACGGCTTGAACAGCGCGAACACTATCTTGAATATATACGGCTGGTTCACGATGTGGATGTTCTTTATCCTGAGCGGGACGCTGTCCTGCGGACACACACGCGCGCGCGATCAAAATCTTCCGCCATCTTGGATTTCGCGAAAATGCGCGAAATTTAAATTTACATATACGGGGTGTCGAAAAAATATCCGTTTTTACGATGGCCGCCGGATAGACCGGTCGATCGGTGATAAAATACGTACCTGGAGCCACTCGACTATCCTGCCGGCGAACGAAGGGGTGAACTTGGTGGTCTGGCCGAGGGATAACCCGTCCATGTCGAATATGACGACGGCGCCGCAGACTTGGGTCTCGGGCTCCAACATGGCCGCCTCCAGGAACAACACGCACCCTTTGAACACCTCATCGAGGGTCACCTCACTCGTTTTCCATTTTTCTGAACGAAAAAGGTGCTGACATATTTTTCGAAAATTGAAGAATTTGTAAGTTTTTAACGCGTGCTGTATAAATTTCGACAATAAAGAACGTTACTTTTCGGACGGACAGTTAAAACATGAAAAAATCGTCGACTTATTTGCCAAGAGTCGCAGTAGTGTAACAATGTCGAGTTGACGAATTCAACGCAAATATTTTCCGCGGCGAATTTTGGGCTAAGGTGAGGTGCGAAAAAAAAATTTTGAAAAAAGATTGGTAAGTTTAGGGCGGCTCGTATAAAAATCGACACGAGTTTCGAAGGTAAAAAAGTACTCTTCAGGAGGAAATTTTAAAAATTACGGAAGCATCCTTGGACGTATTTCTAGCACGCTCAGAGGTCCTAATATCCAGCCTCAAGGTAGTACCGACAACCCTTATACAGGGTGTTGGCAAATTAAACGCTCATATTTTCGAAGACGAATTTTGAGCTAGCGTGAGGTGCGAAAAAAATATTTATCGAAAAATCGGTCGGAAAACCCGAGAAAAGTTTCGCAAACTCGTTTACATGGAGAATTTTTAAGTTTTAAACGCCCCGTATAAAAGTCGAGACCCGTATCGAAGTTGAAAAAATGTTCCCTCTAGGGTGGAAAGTTCAATAATTATGGTTGAATTCTAGCAGCCACAGAGGTCCAAATACCGAACCCTGAGTTATCACCGAAAAATATTATACAGAGTGTTAACATATTCAACGCGTATATTTTTCGAAACAATTTTGAGTTGACGTGAGGTGCGGAAAAAATATTATTTTGTCGAAAATCCGATCGGAAAAGGGTGGAAATAATTTGAAAACTTGTTGATTTGGTGGATTTTTAAATGCCCGGTAATAAAGTCAATACCGATATCGAAGTTGAAAAAAGGTTCCTTTTGTCGGTCCAAATACCGAGCCCCGAGTTAGGACCGACAACTTTTATACAGGGTATTGACAATTAACGTTGAGGTACGGAAAAAATATTTATCGGAAAAGGCTTTGGAAACTTAACTCCTGGTGTAAAAGTCGATACGGGTTTCCAAAGTAAAAAATGTTCCTTTTCGGATAGAAATATAAAAATATTATTTTTCGAAAATTCGGTGGGCCGACTTTTTTTTTTTTCGCCACTAAAAGCCAGTTTTTCCCGGAGTTGTTTTCGTCTGTCGTCGACGTGTCGCTGGCGGTTTTTTTTTGTTCCCCGTGCGAAATCAAAACTCGAAAACCTTGCTGGGTATCGACAATTTCCGTAATTAAGCGTAATCGATGGTCGAGGCCGAAATTTTGACCGATAAACGAGTTTTCCTTCGAGGCCGACCGGGTACTCGGAATATTCCACTTACTGCCTAGTTCTATAATCAATATCCGTCGTCCCAGCTGGTCCCTGTTGGGCTGCACCGTGAGGATGTTTTGCTGGAATATATTCTTCTCGTTGCTAGGGAGGAGGTTGTCGTAGAGTTCAGCGTGTTTCCGCTTGAACGCGTAGTACCGTTTGATCTGAAATCGGGTCGGTTATTCTAGGAACTTCCGGAGATATACTTCGACCAGAAATGCTTTTACTATCTCAGATGTAAAAATTAAAGGAAGGAATTTTTGTATGCGATTAATGCAACATCAAGACTTTATGGTGGCATGGTTTTCTAAATTGGATACGATATGAGTGTACCTCGACCAGAAATATAGTGCTTTTACAACCGACTCCTCGAGTAACTTTGCCTACTGTTTTCAATCTTTTCCGCCGAGCAATTCTTGAAAAATGTTAGTACAAAGTAACAATTTACTATGTCCTATTTCATTACGCTTCTACATAATATAGTTATTAATATCCAAAATATTAAATATAATAATAACAAAGTATGTCACTTAAAAAATCGTCACTATCACCTAGTTCAATGATCAACTATAAATATTATCGTCTTTTATTACTCGTTTTTCACAGTTAGACCAGCTGATATTTGATATTTGAGCTACCTCTTGCCGAATTACGTTTATGGTACTATCACTAAATTTTGGTGCAGTGTTATCATCTCAATCGGGTTAAATATGCAATGATACGGGGGTAATCTCAAGATTTCATGTCCGTTTTCTATCGAATCGATTTTCTAATCTTTATTAAAATTTTTATTTTTAATAATTCCAGAACTTGTTTTTCGTGTAGCTCTCTTCAAAATATAAATCATTTTCTCACGACCATTTTTTGACCCAGCACGAAGAATTATTCTGCGTTTTCCGTGTGAAGGCGGCACGTCTAGTACACATTTGTTGCTGTTATCACAGCATCCTTTTTTTACTGTGTCGTTAGTGTCGAACCAGGTTTCGTCTAATTACTCTAATGCCTATTTTGTTTAATTGTGAGATTCAATACAAGAAGCAAAACGTCGTTAATCGACGGGCACACAAGACAAATATGATTATTTTCAAGCTTACCTCGAAGATAAATGGAGTATAAATACGTACTAATGCCTCCGTTTATGTTAGAATAAACCTTATGTTAAAATAAACGCTTCTAGTGGAACTTCCATATCGATCAGTTAGTGAAAAAGTTATTAAAAATGTATCTATTCCGGCAACTTACTCAAATATCTGATAATCAATTACTTCTTTCTACTTATTTTTCACTAGTACGATCACTTACATCTGGAATAATTGGTTGGGATACTGCTTATCACACAACTCTTCAGACCCTTTACGTAAAACAAAAAAGAATTTTGAAAATTGTATTTAAGTTAAATCTGCGATATCCATCTGACTTAATTTTTACTCAACTTCAAATACTTCACATAAAAAATTGATATTATAAATCATCCCTTTTGTTCTTAATAAAAAATAACTTACTGGTTAATTCAAAAACTCACAAGTACGAAACCCGCTTTAAACTTGGAGAAAATTTAACTTTAGAAAATATGCATTTATCTGTTGGACAAAAAAATTTTTATACTGGTCAAAAAATTTATAACAATTTTCATTTTATTACAAATTTTCGTTACGGTCTATCCCGGGAAAAATACTGAAAACATCAAAGCAATAAATGCACTATATTTTTGGTCGTATTATAACCCTATAGCTTACCAAATCTCTCGCGCTTTCCGGGTAAAATTTGCAAGGGCGTAGGAAACGTATCAGCCACAGGTCGCGTTCCAAGGGCACGTAGAGGTCACTCTCCTCTGCAAATCAAAATCGAAGTCTATAGACATCTTTGCTAACAAGCGCGTGACAACCTGTTTCGTAGAAAACGTGAAACAGAGAAGTGCTTATAGGCAATTTCGTTGATTTCAAAAGATTTGCACAAATTAGAAACGCACTAAAATACTGTTTGATAAGGTTTGTGGATGTTGAGCGAAGTTTGTATTGTTGGTATTGTTGGGTATGATTTGTGTCATAATTTTTTTTATAACCGCAGCTAATCTTTTAAGATTTTTTTTTTTTTGCAATTTGCCGTGGCAAGTATCAATGTGAGTCATATCTATGAATAAAAATCTCTTTTTTTTTTGTTAAATTTATATTATTTATTATTAAGTATGTGGTTCAGGTAAAAAAATTCCATAGGATCATTTCAAACAAAATTAACGTTCATAATTTTTATCATAATAAACATGCATACCTGTATTTTTTTTTTGCATTTCAATGCATATATTCCGATACTTTTTAATACGCATATACCGACGAAATGATATTTATAATTATAGTCAACTTTTATTGATGAACTTCTAAATTGATTGCACCAAAAATAAGTAGGGCATTCTATTTAAAATAACAAAATTCTGACGTATAACATAGAACTGGTTCCAGTACATTTTACATACCATAGTTTTCGGTAAATGTGCAAAAAATGCATCACGTGCGATACCGGCTTATAGAAAAGAAATCCATAAATCGAAATGACTTTGATTTAGTCCGAGAAAAATAACATTTCAATTTTTAATTCTTTATAAATATGTGTCATCTAATATTTTTTTAACTTACCGGAATTGTATTTTTTTATATACGATTTTGTCGATTAATGTTATAATATTTTTATGTTACCATTATTTCTATTTGAGATGATGCCGTTTTACCAAAACGACGGTAAAGATTTCTAAAAAGTTGTCAACCTCGGTTTGGATATATCGATTATGCATAAAATTCCGAGGATTTGTTTTTTTTTGTCCGCCCTACGTCTAAAACGAACAGTTTCCGAGATGTTTGATTTTTCTGTCTGAAAACTATCGGTAAACAACTTGGAAGCAAAATTTATGCGGCAATAACTTTATTCCATGTGTAAATGATTAGTTTTTGATTTTTTTTTTTTCAAATAGAAAACACCTCATTTTTCATTTTATGAGTTCGAACATCGATCCTGAGTAAAAAATATTGACATTATCCTTACCTATATCAGGATTTTTATCCAGAAAGGGCAGACCAATATAAAAAACTTAGTACCTAAAATTTAACACGCAAATTGTTACAGACTGAAGGGTAGTTTTTAGTCAGTAAAAAAAAATATTTTAACATTCATTTAAATTTTTTTTGGGCATTTTATACCCATATAGTTTTGCACCTGCGCATTAAACTTGAACTTGAACTTAACCGTATTTTTCATACTCATACTTCATACTCTCCGTATCGCTTTAGGATATGCACAGGGTTATTCATTATATTTTATTATTTTTTCTCTATTATCTTATGCATGGTTTATTGACATTTCATTTAGTCGTTTTTCAGATATCTAAAAATAATTATTCGATTTCTGGACTATAGCCATATGGTTTAAAAATGGTCAAGTCTGCCTTGATGCCTTGTGTTTGCAATTGTTTTAACAATCTTCTATTTTTGACAACTAATCAAAACTAAAGATCTGCAGGAAGAAAAACGCCAAATAATAAAATTGTATTATTCAATTTCAATATCAGTTATATTATTCAAATAATAAAAAAAGATCTAAGGCTTAAGCTAATAATGTATAGTGTATTCCATTAAAAAAAAAGATGTTGCTGTCATTTTGGCAGCTTGCAATCGTCGTTTGTTTTTTCTGACATTCGCATAAGATAATAGAGCAAAAATCTTCAAAATTTTGTGTTTACACTATAGGCAGCTACTGATTTTGAGTAACGTCATTTCATACACAGTTTACACAAAAAAACTTGACAAATACTCGCACCGTACTGGCTGTTCAATTGTAAAAAAAGCTAATCTTTGAAACACATTTAAATTCGGAACATTGAAATTGTGCTTCTTGGCGTAAAAATTATTATGAAGTAGAATCCTTACCCTTGAGGAGTTCCCGTAGCTCTTTGACAGCCTCTCTAGCCACGTCGGGCGTTTCCCTGAGCTCCTTCCTAGCGATTTCCCTGACCTCCGGCCTCAGCTCGTCTAGCTCTATCTGGAGCAGATAGTTGTTGAGCTGGACGCACGGCATCTCCTTCATGTCCGACAGCATCGTGTCCTGGACTGCACGTAACCGAGAAATAAAGCGTTTTTTGACGATATCGCGTGGGATATTTGAACGAAAACGTTTATTAGCGTAGACAAAAAAATAATTGAGAGTCTATTATAGAAACACGTAGCGTGATAAAAATTTATTGCTATCGCTACAGATAACAATTTGTGCTGCTTTTGGGTTTAATATCAAGAAAACAAAATTCGTTGAGTCTTCAAGGGTCTTTCTGCAAAATGCAACAAAATATCAAGTTGCTCTTCGTCATTCAAAATATGACGACTTTCTTCAAGGTTCCTGTCGAAGATCTTTTTTTGTGGGTGCCTCCTTGATGGAAATTTTGTTATGTAACCTCTAAGAACCAGGGTCCCGTTTTTATTGTTCGATATGTAACTTTTTAACATATCAGTGTTTTCCTCCTATAAACATGATAGGCAAGCAAGCGAATAAATTAAATTTATAAACGATAAATGAATAAATCAGTAATGTGTCAATTCAGTTATGACAGTAGTCAACAACAAAACACGCGTCCAAGGAGGCAGCGTTCTAGCACTTGTTTTGTTTAAACGCCGTCATAGCCATGATGACACTATATATGTCGACCACTTTGAAGGTTAAAAGGTTTTTATTGATTTTCTAGAAAAGCTGAATACATATAACTTTTTTTAATCTATAGAATTTTTTTTTATTATTTATTAATTATGGGGCACCACAGCCAAAATTCGGGTAAATTTAGTTAAGTTAGTCGAAAATAAATCGACTTGATGGATAAAAGCCACAAAAAATAATAAAAAGGTTAAGTGGGTTGCCTTGCCCCACCCGCCCCTATATTCTATATAGTCGATGGTTGTTCCCTCGATGAAAACGCATTTATTATTGTATTGTTTTGAGCTTTTGTAGCGACTACTCAGTTTTTGCCGAAAATCGAGTGTTTTTCATCGTTTTTTTTTCAACCTCGACGAACGCGGTTACGTAACGTTTCCAAGACTTGTCGCCTGGTTTTTTTTCTTCCACGCTCGTCTTTCCGCGTAATTAACCGCAGACGAGTATTATGCTAATTGCGACAACTTATCATTTATTATTACCGTACATCCTAATGACGCAAACGCAATCGACTCGATCGCCCATAATTAATATCGGCCGTCCACTTTTCCTCTTTTGCGACCTTGGCGCGCGCGTCACCAGCTACTTTTTGTTTGTCGTTGTTTTTACCCAAAATGAAATACTTTTTTTTATCCCAAACACGAGCGATGCCGAATCTCAAAAAAAAAAGAATCTGATGTTTCGTTAGTGTTTATGAGATTAAATATGCAATGATATTAGGAAGACGGAAAACAGTACAGCCAAATTGTCGCTTTTTTATAACTGAATTCAAAATAAATCTGACTGAGCAAATATGCCTGGAGTCGGTTTTTGAACTTGATAAGGCTGGTGCTTTGCGTAGCAGACGGCTGTGTGATCCATGGCAGTAACACTGTTATTGGGAATATTTTTTAAAAGATTGCTTTGAAACTAATTTTCGAAAAGTTCGGCACTTGTATCCTCATGATAATCCAAGCTAGAATCCTTAGCGGTTTGAGACAAATCCGTCTTGTGACTCAGAGTATATTGTGGTGATGCGTTTTAATTTATTTGAAGGTTCTTTCGTCTGACAGTTTTGAGTAGAATCAACCCACCCTTTGAATACAGTGTTGTGTGTATCGAACCATGTTTGATCAAGGTAAATTATGGGTCTGTTGTTTAATCTATATCTTTTAATTTCTTGAAGGTAAAGCTCCAAGTGGTTGCCTTTTGTCTATTTTGCGGTACTTAAATCCCATGTTATAAACAACTCTTCGGAGGGTGGCTCTGCTTATATTTATATTGGTTTCATCTTCTTCTCGCTTCTTTTTCAGTTTATGCAAGATAGGAACAAATTTCCTTTGATAAAACAATATATTTTCCTTCTTAATCACTATTATCTATACGGTGAGTTTGAAGACTAATAATAAAATGTAAAAGTTGCCCAAAGACCTTGGCAAAGGAACACGCGGTCGCTTTCGGCTAAAATTTAATTTGGGAAAAATTATTTTTGTTATTAGTCTAGTGTAGTTGTAGGGTTTGAAATGACGTTAATTGAACATACTATTTAAAAACTTATGTAGTATGGCTCATTATGACTGGTACATTAATTTCAATTTCAAAAGTTATGAACAATTAAACATGGTAAAAAGTAGTATAAAGTTTTTTGCTAATAATTCGTAAACTAACACTTTTTTTCGATTTTGAAAAACAGATAATCAAAGAAAAAGTCCCAACTCCCAAAACAGTTATTAATAAAATTTGATGTTGAAGTTACAATAAAAAAAATTAGAGTATATAAAGTGGTTTTCAAAAATCAAAAAATATTATGGTATAATATAAACACTTTTCTCGGGACAAAGACATTTATTAACTAAAACAATATTTAGCTCCATTTGTTTAGAAATTTTTTATAAACAAATCAACTATTTCAATATTTAAAAAAAAAACAACTTCATGACAGTTCATTTATGATTGTTAAAAAATTCTTAATAATATTTTTTAATTGTTTCCATACGTTTTTTTTTTATTGTTTAAATAATTAATAAAGAAAAAATTAATCATAATTTACAGTTTTCACAATTTTTTCCATAATTTTACTGGCTTTATTATTTACTTATATGCAGAATAGGCGTAGACTACACTCCTTGGTATTTTTTCACAACATTATTTTTAATAGCAGTCCTCCTTACTTGACAAATAAAATAACATATCGGACAGATGTTCACAAATTTAGGGGTCTTATCTCTCCACCACCACACAGGACGTCTCTTTTTCAAAGAAGCTTCTCCTATAACAAACTTTACAATACCGTTCCTCTCTTTAAAAACCTTATCACCATTAAACTTAAAAAAATAATAATAATAAAACAAGAAATGTTCAGCCAACTAGCAAATTGCAAGTGATTTTCGAGTAAGTTCAGTCCTAAAATTTTCTATCCAATTTTTATTTTTTATATACACGTACACATTTTCTATTTTGCTATAGTCATACGAACTAATAATTTTAAAAGAGTTGATCACCTTTTTTGCAATTTATGTGCTTTTATTGTATTGTAAATTGAACATTGCAGAATAAATGTATTATTATTATTATTATTAAATCCTACTACTGCAATTTTTGTTCTACATATATTTTTAAACTGTAATCAAAATCGAATTTTTTTTTTCGAAATATATACAGTCTTATTTAAACAATAAAAATATATATATATATATATATATATATATATATATATATATATATATATATATATATATATATATATATATATATATATATATATATATAATATATATATATATATATATATATATATATATATATATATATATATATATATATATATATATATATATATATATATATATATATATATATATATATATATATATATATATATATATATATAAATTGATTCTTTAAACGCACTTTTTTTCCTCAAAATTTATGAAAACTTTGAAGGTAAAACCCAAACTATTCGTTGACAATTAATAGTAACATTCGAGCTCAGTTCGTGGTGAATTGGATTTTAAGTATAAATGTGGGAAACCTGTGACGACATTTTCACGATCAAAACTTGTAATTTTCTGCTGTCGTTCTCCAACCGTCTCGAACAACAGGTGCACCGAATGTAGGTACTTAAAAATCGACGTTTCATTATTTTTGGCTTGTTTAAGGAATGAAATAATAACGTTTTTATTTAATATCTAACCCTTAGTAACTTGACTTATAAATTATATTGGTTCGCTTTTGACATAAATACTATCAAGAAAGTTTAAAAAATACCCTTCACTTAAATAATCTTTGTTTGTTATTGAGTTAAGACACTTTTAAAGTTAAGTTAGTCTAAGATAATAAGATGAACGGGACAGTTATGGAAAAACTAAGACGACATAATTTGATGTATAATTTGCTAATTTGCTAATCTTATTTAGTAAGCGCAACAGCTAGAAAATGTAGAAATAAGCCATTGATTGCAGCAAATACGCTCAATAGATTTAATCAGTTGTCTAGATTTTAATATTGTCTTACAGAAACCATGAACTTGCGGATTCGATTTCAACAAAATTAAAAAAAAAAAACAAATCCAGTGGTTTTGGCGACCTTCCAGACTTTATGACGGATTACATTACACATTACAGAACCAGCTACGTTATTATATTCCGAATATACCTTTAAGAAATAATACAATATTTCTTATTTATTTTTATTATTTTTATGTGCGTGATAAAATAAGTTAATTATGATAAAAAAAATATATACAATATAGACTCCAAAAATAATTCAAAAAAATTCTACGAAACCAACTTCATTAAAAAAAATAATGGCCGATTCGAAAAGGTCCCTTTTATCCATCAACCTTGATCTTCATTTACAAATGCTATCATCATTTTTTGACAAACTAAACAAGGTATTATTATTGTTATTACTTATTGTGATTATTTTTACCGCAATACGTCACAAATCGCGTACACATGGTCACTTACTCAACTGCATCGAGCCGTATTGATATTCGATGGCCTTATTCGACACCGGACGAACTTATTGCAAAACCTGCCGCTAGACTCACGCACCAGAGACTGACCTGACCGCCGGTAGCTGGGTGAAGTCGCTAACGAGATCTTGACGCGAATCGCGCAACATCAAGAATCCCCAAACGCGGCAAAATTATTTAAACATTAAGGCTGGCTCAAACGACTCGTGTAAGGTCTGACTCAGACTTTATCGCGCCGGCATTGCCCGGAATTATGGAAGTTACCCGCCGACGGCAATTAAACTCGACTCCGGTAGGGATTAAAGGACAGATCGTTAGGTTTTGGTAGTAATATTTTTTTTGTTTAGGTGGATACAATCTATTAAATTACACTAAGAAAAAACAATGGCATTAAATATACCGGGTGACAAAAGCAAGTGGGAACACTCTATAACCTTTAAACGGCTTGAGACAGCGATTTGAAATTTAAAAGGGATGATATTGGCTGAGTGTTGTAACGAACACGCATAGTAGGCCCACCTGGACGTACCATCGTAGGCCTAGACCGCTGTGTCAGTACTGACGCCAGTGTCAGTCGGCAACGAGTTGGTACAGAGATTTTACCGCTTATAACCGTTTAAATTCTGTTTTCATCCCAACAAACTGTTCCTGCCAAATGTCCAATTTTTTGACAATATGTAGTCAATGGTTGCGCTTCCGGTTTGAGCGGAAACGACAGTAACTTGCCAATTTTATATGGCACAACCTATACTTTTCGGCTTTTTGGATTCCGGGGATAATTCCACGTAGGATAGGACGGTTTTTCTCTTTTTTTTTGTTTTGCTAAATTTTTACTTAATTTTTCAAAATTGTGTCTAAGAGGTTGTGACCACCATAAATACTAACGTTTTGTTTGGATTTTTTAATTAGACATAATGAGAATAATATTTTTCTGAAAAACATTTTATGGAGTGATGAATGTTCGTTCACTACATGAAAGGGTAGATTTTTTTTAAAAAGAAACTTCCACAAGCTACTGTAATACTTTTTACAAAACTTCAGGATTCCACCTGCGCCGGTTTTTGCTGGGTCGAACTTGCTGACGTTTCGCCAATCATCCTGTTGGCTCCTTCAGAGCTTCACTGAAACTGCCTCGTATTTTACTCTGTATCTGCTTATACATTGTTTGAGGTTGGCCGAGCTAAATGAGGGGGATAAACATCGTCTCGGATGACTAATTCCCATATTGGTGACAGGTAGAGGCCTGAGTCGCGGTTAAGATTTTTAGGTTGCTTATAGATTTCTATAAACTCTCGCATTTTTTTTTATTGGTAGAAGAATGCAAGAACATGCAAGAATTTTAGTTTTATCGAATAAAATTTTGTCCGGTTTTGGGATTGTGTTCGGCAACTGCTGATGAGTTTATTTGTCTTAGTACTAGTACTATTTCATGTTCTTTGAACCTAGTTGATTTTTTCGTCCGGTCTCTATAATGTATTCTTTGCCGCATATGCATGGAATGCAATAAACTTCTGGCATCTCAAATGGAATTTTAACTTCGACGGGTCGAAGATATGGAGAGATTTTTGCACCAGTGGTAAATCTGATTTTGACGTTAAATTTCTTTAGAACTTTTGATATGCGGTCAGTGATGTTTCGAATGTAAGGGAGGACTCTTGTAACAAGTGTGGGATTACTTTCGGACTCATCGCTATTGGAGGGTTGTGGTGAAGTGTATTAATATCTTTAATGTGGAAATTATCAGAGAGATAATTAGAGGTAAGGTGTTCTATTTTGGGTTCAGCGACTCGGGCTGAGATAGTCTTACGGCTCCGTAAACGAGAGAGCTGGGCCGGATGGTGATGTGGCAATGACCCAATGTTAAGTCTGATTTTCCATTAATAAGAATATCTAAGACAGGCAGGTCATTATTAGTTTCTAATCCAATGGTAAAACGTATGTTGGGTGTATAGAGTTTAAATGTCTAAGAAAATCTACTAGGGATTCTTGACCATGAGGCCAAATAACACAAGTATCATCGACCCAGCGTTTCCATAATTTTTGTTTTAGATGGAAGGTGCCGAGAGCTTTCTTCTCAAATATAGAAAGAGATGGAGAGAGAAAACCTATAAAAATCCACAAGCAACCTAACAATCTGAACCGCGACTCAGGTCTTTACCCGACACCAATATCGGAATCAGTCATCCGAAGTGGAAGTTTATTTAAAAAAATAATAACAATTGTCAACAAATCCGGCAAACCCAAGTTGACAAAAATTTGCCAGCAAGTTGCGAGAATAAAGATTGTATTCGAGATGTATTCAAATATTCATTATATCTTACTGTTAATATTTGAAAGATGTTGTCAAATTTTTGTGTTGCAATTGTTTTAAAATGTAAGCAACAAAATATAGTCGACAAAGTCACGATACCAAGAGTTGGATTAACTGTTGAATGACATTTTGAGTATGAAGAATTAATATTTTCGTTTTCTGTTTAAGCTAAAGCTAAGCGTTGTATAATATTATTGGATATACCCGCCCGGAGTCCCGCCTGTAAGCGCGTTTATTTGTTTACGCGTGGATTTTAACCTTTAGCACAATTAACATAATTGTAACAACCATAATCGATATTTACCGAGAAAATTACCATAAATTATAAACGATTAATTGAAAATGCACATCTTTATAGTTTTTGAAAATTTGATCCTCATATTTGGCAAAATGTTAAAAAAGCGTCATTATACGAAACTAATAATAAGCAAATATTATTAGATTTTACAGTATATTTTTTAAAGTGTTTCGTATGAACGATTAAGTTTTGGTTAGTTCCGAGGTTTGGTCAAGTTTTAAAATATCGAAAAACGAAAAATTTGTGATACTTTTTTCGTTCTTTTGAAAAAATAAAGCTCTGTGAGGTCACTTTCTGTTTTTCGAGTGCACGCGGGTACAATAAAAATACGATATAAATAACGTGACATTCGATTCCATTGCCGATCGCGAAGGTTTCGCGGACTTTCCTCAGTGATTTGCTTTCTCAATCGATTTGTGGGTTAAGAACGTCGACATCGCCCTGTTGCCGCTTTTTCAAATAAAATCACGTAACCAAATACCGGCAACACTGGATCACGGTCGAACGAATCGACGCAGACAACAGACGTCCGAGCGGAGTGACAAGTCTTGCCAGTGTTGATATTATAATGTAACGATATTAAAAATTTCATAATTTCATTATAAATAATTAAATTTTAACTTTGAAAAAGTAACTTCTCTGGAGAAAAAGAAAAAGAGGTTAAAAACTAAAAAGGCCTTTGATTGCCTAAAAATGTGGTTTATACTTGGCAACGGGGCTGCAGTTTACGTTTGTGGCGGACGCGATCATGGATAACAGAATTTTTTGTCCCTTGCTGCCAAATATTTAATAATCATTCGTGTCATATTGTTTGACCATTTCAAATACGTTCCGAGTCTCCTATACATTTGCTTAGTTTTCTTAATACTGATAACTGTTCGCGCTTACTGGCAACAATTAATAATGTCGCATTGACCCGATTTTGGATGTGGAACTTTTAAGGTTAGATGGAAAGTATTAACATGGATTAACAATTATCAAAATTACTTTTGGTTTGTTGCTTAGACAATATTCTCATTTAGGTATGTACCGTACGTTCAATTTATGTTGATAACATTTTAATTGGGTGTAACTTTTTTGTTTTTAGAGATATCAAGGTAAAAAAAAACAGGCTTGGTAGCCAAGTTTTTTGCAAGTGACGTATAAACACCATCAACTTTTTCATTTTCATTATATCTTTTTTTTTAATGGAACACCCTGTATATTATATATGTTTTTAATAGAAAACCTTATTCCAAGCCATTATGTCCTTCAAAACAGATATTTCCAAGACTGGCAGAGAAATTTTCAGAAAACGGTAACGTATTAAATGCTGGAAAAGGTATGCCGGAATCAATGTTTTAAATGAAGAAAATAAGGCAAACATATTAGGAATCTAAGAAGCACATCCAGTTTCCTCTATTACTAGAGTATATCGGTCTACTCAGTTTTGAAAGAATTTACATATCATGCATTTAAATTTCGTAAAACTCAAAACGAAGTACAGACATAATGAGAATAATAATTTTTTCAAAAACATTTTATGGGCTGACGAAAGTTTGTTCACTACAAAAAAAGTTGTAATAGACAAAACACGCGATATTGGTCTTTAAATAATCCTACACTAATTAACTAAATAAAAACCCAGTGGTACCAATCAATTAATGTATGGTGAGATGTCATAGATGGACATATTTTGGGTCCGATTTTTATAGATCAAAACCGGAGATTGGAGATCATTATTTTTTTTTATTATCATTATTTGAAATTGGCCAAAACTGCTATACTACCAATTTTTGTAATAAAAGCCATATTAATTAGAAAAAACATCTTTTTATGACCACCCTGGGTAATATATTAACAATTGCCGGCGAAATACGGTTTGGCAATGCCGCGCGGCTGTCGGTCGCCTTACGGTCACAGAAATTCCCCCGCCTACTGCGGGATTACCTAACTCTAAAGGGTTGCTTACACGGGGCGTGGACCGACACAAAAATTATCTGGGCCATTCTCGACGAAACGTCTGATATCGGAAACTGACCCGCGATGCAAATAAACCAACACTAATTGGTTATCATTTTTCTGCCGCCACGCCGATTAAATGTTATCGTTTTTTTTGCCCCGCTTAAAAAAAAAAGACGGATAACAACCGCCGCTGCTTCCTGCATCGTCACACAAAATTTAAGATCGATGCGGAGCGTATGCAACCGCACATGCGCTCCGCCACAGACCACGTAGATCAGTTCCCGTCGAAAAAAGACTCTCTCTTACGCGGTACCTTTTCTAGCGAGATCGCGGGCAGAAAAATGAAACCACTGAGAAGCGGCTGAGCGACAACGCTTTTAAATTTTCCTCGACTGAAAATTTCGATACGTTTTGCGAGTGTAATTGGTGATCTTAGTAATTACGGTGACATCAGTATTTTTGGCTAGAAATGGTTGGCGAGCCCGGCTGCCAACAGATGGCTGCACCATCGTCCTTCCACGTTTGCGTGGAGCTTATTGTGTGCGACTTACAGGCTTCCGGCAACATTTTGTACACTAAAACGGCGAATCCTTTTGCGTTCGCGGAGTCGTTTCCTTTTTGCACGCGCGAAGCGAACATTTTTCGGGACACTCGAGTGGTAAACCGTTGAAGATGGCGGCGACAACTGACGCATCCGTTGTTTGGGTGCCCGAAGGCGATTGTGTGCTAATTTAAATGAAGCGCAATATGCATATTACGACGAACGATACCGACAACCTTCGGTTTCGCATTAATTTTTTTTGTGCTTACAACCTTTTCAAGTATTTTCTCTTTTAACAAAACACCAGACGCTGATAAGTTTATGAAACGGATAACACTGTTAACACTCTGATAAATATTTTTCAGCATTCACCAAGCCTGATAGGCTATCGGACAACTTGTGCCAATTTTCAACAAGAAAGAAGTCGTCTGGCAGATAAAATGTTAAAAAGTGAGGTTAATTTGAAATTTTTGAATTCAAGGGGAACAGAAACAGTGCATTTTTCTATAATTCCATAGAGTTAAAATTAAAATATGGAAAGAACAGATGTGTTAGATAGCTTCGATTCTACATTATCAACAACTACTGAGTCTTCTAGAGAATTTCCCGGAAACTGGTAGACAGAACCCCAACGGATTTCGAAGGAATACACAGTTTTAATTGCACTTTGTTTTTTTACTAGAGGCTCCAATTTATAGAAATACCTGTTCACGGAACAGGAACGAAGAGAAAATGTTAAAAACTTTATAATATTGCTGGCTTTCCGGATATTATAGAGTATAATATTGTAACACATACTTTCCCATCAAATTCATGTTGCTTTGCTAGCTGCTTCATGTTTTCTATTAGAGCGATTATTATCTCTTCTTGATGTGCATAATTAGCAGGCCTTGTCCTTACCCATTTTCGACAACCAAACTGATAAAAATAGCCGAAAGATATATATTATATATACCGAAAAATTAATTTTCTAAAATAAACATAAAAAAAAGTTAGGTTAAGATAAAACGAATGCCTTGAAGATAGTTCCAGATGGAAATGTCTCTGTTTATTATGAGCAAAAACTTTTTAAATGATGATTAGAGCGATAAATATTATCAAACAGTTGACTGACAGAGACATAGTCCGTATTTGTTGAATTTTATATTATCATATGTCGGTAACATATGCAATTGCTTTACCGGCTTCAAAACACTGACATTTTCCATATACTACAAAAACCAGTAACCGAGCAATATTAGTTTTGAATCCGATCTGAAGAACTTTTCCACAGTAATTTACGATTAAAATGTTTACTTTGTCTTGCGCGTTGGTTTTTTGCTTTTAAGACGCCTGCCAAAGTCAATAATTCAAAATGAAAAATAAGATAATTACCCTGGCTAGTGCATTTCACATAAACAATTTTCACAACCATCGCGACAGACACTGGCGACTGCGATGTGAACGTGCGAAGAAGAAATTAAAATAGTTCGGCGGTCTTGTTTTTTTTATTTAACACGATATTATGGAAACACGATACGTGCGAGCCTATCGTATAAACAAATCCTGACCTTCGGTGCACCGAGCAAGGTCTGATAACGCATCGTGCATAAAAACGATATCTTTCTTAACGAACGAATCACGCAAAGGCAACAAAAGCCGAAACAAAATTACTTGTAAGAAAAACTTGTCGCCATGACCAGCCCTTCTAATAAACGCAAACCACTAAGGAGATAAAAACGCCCCATATCTTATTACTGTATGCAGTTGTGGTTTTGAATGTTATATATTTTTTTCGGTCGCGCCATCTAACGTGCGCCAGTTGAATCTTATTAAGTTTTCTTGGTTTTCCTGCATAACTACAGATGGAGTCCTAAGTTGGGACTGCCTGAAGAGGAGGAATGGTTGTTGGTGTGATTTCTCTACAAGGAGATTCCGAAATGTTGTGTTAGTTTCTAATTTTGAAGAAAGAACCCATTTCGACGGCCCGGCGCTTAGTGAAATGAAAGTAACTGTAGGAACACAAAGTAAATATCAAAAAAGGAAATATAACCGTATTTTGTTTTTCACTGACGCATCTGTCGTGGACGAATAGAGCGCAATCCACCTCACTACTTCGAGCGGTACAAATACACTGAAAAGCTGTGCAGTCACGGGCCCGTCAACAGAAAAAGTAAAAAAAGGAATGTTACAATTTAAATTTAAATGTGTACAGCAAAAAACTTGTGTAGCCATCTGGCGGCGGATACGCAAATTAATTGCGAACCTCGGAAAGGTTGTATTGAATAATGAGGTGTACGATTACTCATTTGCTGCTTCGGAGAATTGACCTGACTGTATATTGGATGATTCGCGTTGGATCATGAGTAATTACGACGTGACAATGTAAATATGGAAAAAATAAAATTACTGCTATAATAATACACAGCGAATAAAAAGAACGTGGCTGTACGTGTGTTTTGATGGTCTACTTATCTTTTTTATTGCGTATCTTGCTTACAGATTAAGGGATAGATATGTATATATAAGAAATATTTTCGCTTTACGTGCAAAACGCCGAAAACAGGAAGCGGTTTTTAGAGGTGACATCTTAAAAAATTGGAAATTATGTAAAAATATTTCCTAAAAATAGTTTTCCAAAAAACTAGAACTTACTCTTCCGTACAACTGTCGTTTAGTAGTTTTTGAAATAACGGTTTTAAATATTAAAAAAAAAACTACAAAGTATAACACATTCTTACAATACAAGAAATAGAGAATAGGAAAATGTGATAACAAATGAGTGTAAAAATCAAGTTCTAAGATCTTACACACTTTTGTATGTAGCTTCGGACCAATAGACAATTTAATAAAGATAAATGCATAAAGAACAGGAAACGAATTTTTCAAAGACACTCCCACATGTACTGTAATACTTTTTACGAAACTTCTGGATTCCTTCTGCGTCGGTTTTTGCTGAGTCCAATTCCATTAGCTGTTTGAGATGGCAGTTTGTTTAGGACAGACTTGGCATTTGAAATGATTTCCTCTTTTGCGATATTACATGGGACAACGACGAACCTTTTGAAAAAATTAAATTATCCGTTTTCGAAAGTTGGTACGATGATACATTTATTACAGTGGTTGGTAGTTAACATGAGTTTGAATGATGTTGATGAGATGAATATCTAAGAATGGGAGGTGATCATTGGTATCTAATTCCATGGTAAAACGTATGTTACGGTGTATAGAGTTTAAATGCCTAAGAAAATCTACTAGGGATCCTTGACGATGAGGCCAAATAACGAAAGTATCATCGACGTAGCGTTTTCATAATTTGGGTTTTAGATGAAAGGTGTCGAGAGCTTTCTTCTCAAAGGCTTCCATAAATATATTCGAACTGCTCGGACGGACGGCGGACTGAACGGTCGTTTGAGCGTCTGGAAGGTGTTAAGAACTTTCTCTTCAAAGGCTCACGATGGTATTAGTGGAGAACTCACAGCTGTTCCAGACAATCATTTTTCAATTAAGGTCAGAAGGTTTGGTTAGTTGAAATGATGTTGAGGGTTTCAGGAACAGGGACTTTAGCGAAACTAAAAGGAATATCAGTTTTCCCTGTCAAGGGTTTTAATAAGGATTTTGCTAGAGAACCATTGGTGCAGAGAATAGGTCGAAAGGGTAAGCCTGGTTTGTGGATCTTTGGAAGTCTGTAGAGACGAGGAATTTTAGAGTCATGGGGGGTGACAGATTTAAGGTTAGGTTCCATAGGTGAAGTAGGATCTTTTTTAAGTTGAGTATATGATCCGTGTGTAAGAATATGTTGAATCTTTTCCTGATATTCATTTATTATCTTTTGTTATCTGTTTTTAGGATTACGATGTCAGGATTAGATTTTAGAGATTTAAGTGCAATGCGTTCAGACTTTGGAATATTAGGTTTAGGCGGTTTTGATTTTTTAAGGATTTTTGTTTTGAGAAGTTTTGGAAAAAGTATCGTTTGTCGTCCTTGTTTGTGAAATTTGAAATGCGAGTTAACGAGATACCCGATGGCAACCATAAACAACGTTTCTCGCGCCATAACCGACTAGGAATTGCCGTTATTGCACTGTTACGTTATACCGATCGTTACGTGTTTTCTGCGGAGGGGGCCCGTATCTTAAAATGGGACTTGCCTCTCCGGGGCGTAGCGTGAGAAAGTACCCGGAAACCGAGATCGCAAAATCTTTGCGGACCGGTACCATTTCGACGGTTCTGGACAGTTTTCACTTTCAGTTAGACGCCCGAGCCTCGCGCATTTTCCTCGACAAGGTGAGCTTTTTCGATTGTTTCAACGCTAATACTCTTTTTTTCGAGTTAAATGGCACACGCTATATTTTTTGCATTTTTGGATTCAGGAAATCATTCTATGTAGGATAGGATGGTTTTTCTCACTTTTTTTTGTTTTTTTAAAATAACAGGAAGGAAAAAGCAGATAAGTAAATACATATTTATAAAAAACAAAATATTACTAAGTGGCTTTGCTTCTATTCATGATTAATTGTCAAGTCGGTAAGATTAAAAATGGAAAAGAAAGAAAAAACCAAATTAGTATTTAAAAAAAATGAAATTCAAGAGAGAGTTTCTTCTGAGATTCAACGATTAGAATTTTTGGATGAAAGTGTAGTATTATTGTAAAAAGTTGATATGCTTTTGCAATACGGGGATACAGTCAAAAACTAACGTAAATATTGTATGTATACGTACGTCATAAGCCACAAGCACTTTTTACCGGAAACTCAGAGGAACAAGAGAATAGAAATATTTTTTTTTCTTTTCAAATCTGTCACTTTTTGGGATAATTCGACCCAATATTTTGAAAGGCTGTTAGAAAATAAAAACTCAACAATGTCGGTAGAATGGATTTGAAAGTGGTATATCAACATGTGTTACTGTGAGACAAGTTTTACATTGACACAAAATATCGCATTCATTTATTTTGGAACGAGAGTTTGAAAATTTTGGTGTCAAAATGTCCCAAAAAAGGTACCAGTTTTAAAAAGTATTTGTTCACACTAGGGTCCTATTTGAAAAAAGTAGGTTATCCTAAAAAATGAATAGTTTATTACAATAAATTGCATTTACCAAGTAAAGAAAAGTTTCGTTTACAGTTTTTCCCACTTTTACCCGGTATATATGTATTATTGTATGCCACATGTACAATTAAACCGAATTTCATTTTCTAAACACTGAAAATTGTGGAGGGCGAACGTTTTTTCTTGGTAAAATAAACGACATTGTTAAATT